ATATATATATATATATATATATATATATATATATATATATATATATATATATTTATATATATATATATATAACTTACCTAATTATATAATCTGACATGGCCTTACACCCTTTTTTTTTAGATGTGAAATTCGTCATACCTATTTTAGCTGAAATGTTGCCGTAATTTGGGATTAGCTTTTGAAGCCAATTTGTATTATATTATACAATGCAGTACTCAAACATTTTGGTTAATTTTTACAATTCTTGTAACCGACTGTTTTTTCTGCAGGTAGACGTTGCTATAATTGAAGTTGGTCTTGGAGGGACAAGGGATTCAACGAATGTGGTAATATTTCTATCTGTGCTCTCTTTAATGTTGTCTTAACACAAGTTCACAGACTTTAATTTTGTTAATTAAATACTTAATTTTTTGAGCAGATCAAGGATCCGGTTGTCTGTGGCGTTAGTCCACTGGGCATGGATCATATGGAAACATTGGGTGCGTTCTTGATTTGAACTATTTTCAATCTTTTTTGCATATCTATAGAATATTTATATAACAGTTAATTAATGTATCCTCCTTAATACGCAGGAGACACACTTGAGCAGATCGCGTCTCATAAAGCTGGAATCTTTAAGGTACAAGCCCCTTCAATGTGAAAACAAAGACAGTGTTGTTACAACTTTGTCAAAGATTATTTATTGCCTAGTTCTTTTTTACATTTCGATTGGCAGTTTCGGTTTTGAAGTATTTTCTGAAATGGGTTGATGTCTTCTCTGCTCCTAAAGCATCGAGTCCCTGCTTTTACGGTACCCCAACTATCTGAAGCAATGGATGTTCTTAAGGAAAGGGCCAGGGATATATCGGTAATTTCTTTTTCATTGCAATATGATTTCAGGGTTATCAAATGATTAAATTTAGACATAAAAAATGTTATTTCCTGCAGGTCCCTTTGGAAGTTGTTGCGCCTCTCAATCGTAGTAAATTGAAGGGGAAGGAACTAAGCTTGTCCGGTGAACACCAGTTTACGAACGCTGGTTTGGCTGTTGCCCTTTGTAAAAGTTGGCTCCGGCGCACGGGAAATTGGGAAAAACTTTTTCAACATGTCAGTTAAACTTTATTTTATTGCTTTCCCAATTAAAATTGTTCTTTTAAAAAAATGAAATTTATTTTGTTGAATGTGGAAAACGATAATAAGGACTAAGGAGAAACCATTTTGAAAATTAATTATGGACAATAGGTGAAGTGCATGTCATTTTGAATTCTATTCATAGTTCAGGGAAGCTTTTTCATCGGTCATATTTTTTTTTGAGTTTATTGCATTTAGTACCCCATGTGTTATATCAAATTGCTAAAAGGGTCCTTGTGCTATTAATATTAGCAAAAATTCCCATATAATGCATTTATTTTACCATACAACGCTCGAAATGGTGTGAGGTTTTAGGTAATATTTTGGTATGAAAGTTGCATTATATATTTCAAATTTACTTATTTATTTGTTTACTTTTGTGGCCCTTCAAATTAAACTTGTAAAATACTTGACTGGATATTTGATCAGGCTGACCTGGAAGATAATTTGCCCGATGCATTTTTGAGGGGTCTTTCAACAGCACGTCTTTCCGGAAGGGCAGAGATTGTTCTAGACCCTTCTACAGAATCTTCTGATGCGGCTGAAGGCAGAGAAAATACTAAAGGGGATTTGGTCTATTATTTGGATGGGGCCCACAGTCCTGAAAGCATGGAAGCCTGTGCCAGGTGGTTTGCTAGCGCTGTGAAAGAAGAGGGCCCACGCAAATCTGTTCATCATGTTTCGAGTAATGGCCATATCGAACAAGGAGAGAATAAAAAGGTCACCAAGAATGTAAGAATTTCTAATGAATCCTTTATACATTGTAAGAAAAAATGGTCAACTCTTATCTGGTGTTGTAATAATGTTGCAGATTCTCTTGTTCAACTGTATGGATGTGAGAGACCCTCAAACTCTTCTTCCGACACTTGTCGATACATGCGCTTTATCGGGTAAATTTTGGTTTCAATATATTACTATTTATCTAATTAAATATATGGAGAATATAGATGGCAATTATATTATTAATTTTTTTTAGGTACTTATTTTGCGAAAGCTATATTTGTTCCGAGTCTCTCGACTTATAGCAAAGTCACTTCTGCTACTTCGGCCATCCCTTTAGAAATCCCTTCAAAGGATTTAACTTGGCAGTTTAATCTTCAGAGAGTCTGGGAGAAGATCATTAATGGAAAAGGTAATAAAATTGAATTTGAATTTAATTGCACAAACTGGAAAATTTTGAGGGTCGAGAACTTTTTTTTTTTCTTTTTTCAAACAGATGCACTTTGCGAGAATTCGGATATGAAAATACCGGAGAGTAGTCCACCACAAAGGTTAATTGACGAGGATGTTTCGAATTGTAGTACTTCCGATGGTGAATTTTCTTGCAGTGCTGTGGTTTCTTCTCTGCCGACGACTATCAATTGGTTAAGAGATTACGCTAGAGAGAATCCTTCATTTCGAATCCAGGTATATACATGTACAACCTTATTGTTATTACATTACATATATACCATATTTGCCTGTCTGAAGATTACAAAATGCTACTGACTCTATACACGCTTTTCTTGGATATCAATTTTCGTAAACATTTGAAAGACGGTGTTTTGGTTGGTTAATTTATAGTTGGTTTTTCCGAAAATATAGGTTCTTGTGACGGGGTCATTGCATCTGGTCGGAGATGTATTAAAGCTGCTGCGGAGATGATCTTGCGACATGCACAAAAGCTCACACACCCATGTTGGTGTGTGTAAATGAACGGTAAAGATACATCCAGACTTCACCAGGTGTACTAAAAATTTTACCAACTTTATTAAAGCCAAAAGTCACATTCAATTGCCATTTCCTAAACCAGTAAAAAAATGACTTCAATTTGCTTAATTTATATAAACGATCTCTTGATTTAATTAAGAATTGTGTATTGCAATTTGCCAATTACGGTTTGTTTAATTTTATCTTGGTTGAATTAATCCTGCAACCAAACAAGGTGCATAGTGAATGGAAGAATTCAAAGTGTAATTCGAATCCATGCATGGGCGGGAATATATAGATGGGCAAGAAACAAAAACTATTTGAACAAATTTATCCTTACAAAATTCCATCATTACTCATCGACCCCACGACCAATCCAACGAGACGTAAAACTTTCCGGCATATATATACTCTACTTCTAAAGCAATACAAAAAAGACCGAAAGCGCAAAAATAAAGATCATGGCTGCATATTTAGGGTCCACGTAATAAAGTCCTTCTCCCGCCCCCGAAAAATTGACTTGCTGACCTCTCACCACCTCCACCGGGAAAACGCAACTACCATCCGACGGGTCCGTGGGGACCACCTCCCCCAACCCCCCGAATTCGCACGCCGTCTCGTTTTGAAACATACTCTGGAAGTACATATTGAACGCGTAGGATATGTTCTTGTCGTAATCCAGGTGGCTGCACGAACCACCCGGCGACAGGCTCGTGCAGTCGGCACGCAGACACGCATCGTCGAACTGAGCCTTCACCTTAAATGAATCCCTCTTGTCCCCATTGAAGACGCACCACCGTTGGGGCATCCGCATGATCCCCTTCGCCCTGGCGGGATAGATGTCCCGCCCTTGCCCCGAAAGGTCTATCTTGAACTTGGGCTCGCCGTTGGATCGGTAAATCCCCCAGTGGCGGGTGAAAGGAAGGGTAAAAGGGTTTTTAGGTTCGTCAGTGAGGCAGTGCACGAAGATTTCGATGGGCTTGCCTGGTCGCATGGGGGTACCTCTTCCGCTCGCCACATGAGGGAGGAGGTACTTGTAGAAACGCTCGGCGGTGGCGGCGTCAGCCCCCGGGTAGCCGTCGGTGGGCCAGCCGACCTGGCCCACCACAATCTCCCGGTCGGGCGCTCCTGCTTTTCGGAGCGCCCAGACGAAACAATCGTACAGGTAGTCGAAGATGTTGGTGTACACGGCCCCGTTTATGTCTTGGATGACGGTCTTGGATTTGTTGTCGGCGAAGGCGAAACTGGAGTCCAACCATGGATGAGCATTTACGTACTCGATGGGGAAGATCTCGGCGACGAAGGGGGCGTTGCTCTGGTTGAGGAGGCTGAGATGCCTCGCCATCTGCTCCTTAATCTCGCTCCGAAATTCGGCATCGGAGGGCCTCGTTACGTTGGTGAGCACACAATCGGGCTGGGGCAATGCGACCTTGATTTGCTCCCCATAGACATCGTGTAGCGCGGTTTGCATTGTCTCCATTAGGTCTACCGCGGCTTCGGCCGAGCTCGTGTTTCCGCCGCTCATTACCGCCGTCTTGAATTCGTGGTTTCCGATAAAAACACGCCTGGCGAATCACGTTCCACACACAAATACATCTGTATGATTCTTTTATACCATTGAAAATATGTTGTCTTAAACAATGCTATGTTACATACCTTATGTTGGTGGTACTGAAAAACGGGTCGATTTTTTGTCCGATCCAATCGTGGGCTTCTTGGGGAGTCTTGATAAAATTGATGAATATGATTTGTACGGTTAGGTTAATCCCGCTTCCGGCGAAAGCCTCTAAAATGTCCGGCTGAGAAGTGTAGATTCTCGCATCTCCGATACCGTTCTGCAACAGCAAATCGACCACCGTCGACGGAATTAATCTCTGTGCACTTTGTCTTCCCCAATTCATACCTATTGACCCTTCTGATCTTATTGCAAACAAGATCACGGCCAATAATGAACAAGCAAAACGGATCATCTTCACACAACCCATATAATATATTATTACTTAATTTATTATATGGGAAAAGTGATCATGAGATGATCATCATATTAATTAATTAGCCTCCTAATTAATTGACATTGTTTCTCAGGAGAGAGAAAAAAATTCTTGTCGGGTTTTGAATGTAATAACTGGGAAATTTATATATAACTGTCGGATTTGTTAGTTGGAGTTGTGTGTGGAGGAAATTAGAGATACCAATGAAGAAAAATAAATAAATAAATAAATAAATAACTTCGTATGTAGTAATTAGAGATACTGCATGAAATCAAACTTGTCGAAACTAACATCACACTTTTGATATGTAATAATTCTGCATGAAATGTTTTATTATTTAATCGATCATATAATAAAATATTACTCAATCTTTTCCGCAATATCGGTCACTTTAAAGATTTTTTTTTTTTTTTATATTTCATATTAACTGTCATTTAAAATTACAATACTGTATTAATTATGTATTTTTCGGTTTTGCTTTTGTTAACTCTCTAATACTTATCCATGTATTAATTAGTAAATAAGTGTATTTTAGTCGAACAATATCTATTTTTTTCTAAAATCAAGACACATTTATCTGAATTCTTAAAGACTTGTGCAAATGTGACATTTGTAGCGAGTAATTAAGAGTTATATTAGGAATACGATTCGTTAACTGAGGTTAGGTTTTTATGGACTCAACAAGATTGTTAGAATTAAAGTGGTAGAAAAATTTACTCCATAAAAGAGTGGGAAATCTTTTCGAAAAATTACCCCTTAAAAAGTCGGGTGTAGCTCCCTCATGTATTCGATCGTGAATATATCTCAAAGACGAAAAGGGCGGCGTTCTGGCGGAGGCCTCCCCATCGATTCCCTGATTATATTTTACTCGGGTGGGGCGACTTGACCTTCATTTCATGCCCGAGTTTAGAGAAATATTTTGCGACGTGTTCAACACGTTTAATGCAGATAAAACTACCATAAGACATGCCATCTTCAAATTAAGAGATGGGAAAATTATCATGGAATTACTGATTAATTAGCCTTTTAGTATTAGGGTTTGGGATGGGAATTGTTGTTTGGATACTAAGAAAATTGGAGAAGAAAGACAAATTTATTGTCTGGTTTTGATGTTAAGTAGGAGATTTATATATATGATGATTAATTGTTTGAGTTGAGGGTTTTGTGGAGGGAATGACTGAATGAGAGATGGTCAATAAAGTCAATATGTTGACCAGCTAGGAGATTTATCATTTATATCACTGCTGAATTTTCATATATATATTTTTGTTGACTAAGAAGAAATGTGGTACTTTTGACAAATGTCCTGTAAATTAGTTGAAAGTCCCTCAAAAATATTTTATATACCTTTAAAGATACTTGGATTTTGTCTTTTTGCTAAAAGTTTTTGTACTCTTTCTCGTTCTGAATTTGACGCTAGATTTGGAGTCTCTATAGTGGATTGCTTAGGAAAATTAATAGTAACCGTGACGGTGATTTGTAAAGTTTAGTTATATATATAAGCAACAATTTAGTTCAAAAAACTGTATAGAAACCTAAAATAAGAATAAATCATCCCACAACATATACACAATTTACACTTACATGTTAAAAAACTTATTTTACAGGGTTTAGTTACATTAATGATCAAAAGTTTAGCAAAACAAATAGGGCAAATTACGGTCACACCCTGAGGTATAGTTAAATTACGAAAAAACCCTCATGTTTGGATAATTAAAGTCACCCCTTTTTTTTAAATATTTTTACATAAAATTTATGTAATTCGATTTACCGAACCAAATCGTATATTCAATTCGGTAAACGACATGAAATGTTGGCCTATCGAAATTTCGGTTCGATTTTAACAACTCAACATCCCTAAATTTGTCTTTGGAGTGGTTTTTTCGTAAGATAATACATAGTTGAGGGGTGCCTGTAACTACTTAAACAAGAGGAAGGTTTCGTAATTTGACCAAAACTCAGAGAGTGGCCGTAATTTGCCCAAAAAAATATGTATTTCATATTAGATTAGACGGGATGAGGGCAAGTCTCCGACGACCACTCCGCCCGGACTCATGCCTAGGGTTTTGCAGCGATCGCCGCGCCCTCCTACTCATCAGAACCTGACTCTTGTCCCGACGGCCGGATATAGGTCGCACACTTTTATAACACCATCCATTTTCGGGACTAGTTGATCCGGTAAGTGAGTTGTTGCACACTCTCAAGAACAATTTGAACAAATTTCTCCTTATAAAAATCCATCACACTAATGTAAGTACACATTTTTCTAAAAGAGTACAAAAATGGCCGAAAGCACAAAAATAAACACCATGGCTACACATTTATTAGGATGTACGTAATAGAGCCGTTCTCCCGCCGCCGCCGTGTCGAAATTGATTTGCTGTCCTCTGACAACCTCCACCGGAAAGACACAACTACCCTCCGACGGGTCCGTGGGGACCACCTCCCCCAGCCCGTCGAATTTGCACGATGTCTCGTTTTGAAACATACTCTGGAAGAACATATTGAACGCGTATGATACGTTCTTATTGTAATCCAGCTGGCTGCACGAGCCGCCCGGGGACAGGCTCGTGCAGTCGGCACGCAGGCACGCGTCGTCGAACTGAGCCTTCACCTTAAGTTCATCCCTCTTATCCCCGTTGAACACGCACCACCGTTGTGGCATCCGCATGATCCCCTTCGCCCGGGCGGGATAGATGTCCCGCCCTCGCCCCGAAAGGTCAATCTTGAACTTCGGCTCGCCGTTGGATCGGTAAATCCCCCAGTGGCGGGCAAAGGGGTAGCTGAAAGGGTTTTTAGGTTCGTCGGTGAGGCAGTGGACGAAGATTTCTATTGGCTTGCCCGGTCGCATGGGGGTGCCTCTTCCGCTCGCCACGTGAGGGAGGAGGTACTTGTAGAAACGCTCGGCCGTGGCGGCGTCGGCCCCCGGGTATCCGTCGGTGGGCCAGCCGATCTGGCCCACCACGATCTCCTGGTCGGGCGCTCCGGCCTTTCGGAGAGCCCAGACGAAGCAGTCGTACAGGTAGTCGAAGATGTTGGTGTACACGGCCCCGTTTATGTCGTGGATGACGGTCTTGGTTTTGTTGTCGGCGAAGGCGAAACTGAAGTCTAACCACGGGTGGAAGTTTATGTACTCGATGGGGAAGACTTCGGCGACGAAGGGGGCATTGCTCTGGCGGAGGAGGCTGAGATGCCTCGCCATTGGCTCCTTGATCTCGCTCCGGAATTCGGCATCGGACGGCCTCGTTACGTTGGTGATTATGCAATCGGGATGGGGCAATGTGACCTTGATTTGGTCCCCGTAGCTGGCGTTGTTTACAGCGCTTTGCATCAGTTCCATTAGGTCTACCGCGGCTTCGGCGGAGGTCGTGTTTCCGCCGTTCATTACCGCCGCCTTGAATTCGTGGTTTCCGAGAAAAATACGCCTGAGGAATCACGTTCCACACACAAATATACCTTTTATATATGATTCTTTTATGTATACCATTCAAAATATATGATAAATCCCATGCATGCATGCATGCATGCAGTTTACCCTAATATTCTGCAACAAAACAGAAACATATGTATAATATACCTTATGTTGGTGCTGTAGTAAAACGGGTCGATTTTCAGCCCGACCCAATCCCGGGCTTGTTGGGCACTATTGATTAAATTCATAAACAAGATTTGTACGGTTACGTTAATCCCGCTTCCGGCGAAAGCCTCTAAAATGTCCGGCTGAGAATTATAAATTCTGACGTCTCCGATCCGGTTCTGCAACATTAAATCGACCACCGTCGACGGAATTAATCTCTGTGCACTTTGTCTTCCCCAATTCATACCTATTGATCCTTCTGATCTCATTGCAAACAAAATTACAACCAATAAACAAGCAACACGTACCATCTTCATAAAACCCATCTTTAATTAATTAGCCTCCTAATTAATTAATTATGGGTTGTTAGATGATTGAGATTATTTCTCAATTATCTGGAAAAAAATATTATGATGGAGAAGAAATAAAGAAACATTTCTTGGCGGGTTTTGATGTAATAACTAGGAGAATTTATATGTAATTGTTTGAGTTAATGATAGCCATTTAATTTATCTTGATGAAGAAAAGATTTGTATCAAGAAAAAGAAAATTATGGGTCATCTTTTTTCTAAGTATAGTAAATTAATAAAAAGGATAACAGTAGTTTTAACAAGTCATTTTTTTGAGTACTTCATAACCAACATAAATAATTTCCTTCAAATCTTTGTGGATCGGATAACAGATAAATTCGTCACTTGTCGAAACTAACATAACACAGTTTTGGTATATGATTTTGTAGGTGCATGTTATTTTCGTACACGGCAAACACTTGTATAATCCAAAATGTTTGAGTTTGTCGGATAAATGGATATTCTAAGAGTCGAAGGGTTACGAGCTGAGAGTTCGAGCCAGAAAAAAACCGTATCACGTATCACGTATTTCATTTGTCGAATAAACCGTGCAAATCGAATGTGGCAAACTTGTGCAAATAATTTTTTTTGTTGATATTCAAATCAGAAAGGCTGAAAACTCTAGGTTGTGTTTGGATCAACGAAAATGTTAAGGAAAAAAATAAAGCACCGCGTAAAACGCATTCAGGTTTTCTATCTTCTTCAAATTTAATTCTTCTCCGTTCAAGTAAACACCGTGGCGGTACGTAGTTGTTGGGGCTAAATACCTAACACGCAAGTGCACGTATCGCTAACTAGTAGTGAAAGTGGACTCGTGAGAGTCGGATGTCGATCCCACAAGGAATACTCAAATTATCTAATCCTAAGTACCAAATTCTAACAATTATGATTTTTATCCAGCCTACGCAAAGTTGTCAACTTTAATCAACTAAATAATTAAACTAATTATGAAAGCAATTAAACACGAGAAAATATCAATAAAAACGGACATAAGATTTTATCTTCCCCCTATGCAAGAATTGCTCACCCAAAACCCCTCAATTATGAAATATATGATTCATGATTATTAACCCGAAACACTAATTAATTTACTCATAACCCGCAGTCACGTGTATTATGAGTCTATTATTTATAAACGGTTCACTATATGTCTATGCAAACAAATTATGAATAAAGCATTAACTAACAAGTCTCGTAAATGGCTACCTAAGGTGATATATGTATGTCTACGGCACCACATGCAATTGACACACTCATCCAGGTGAAAACTACTCGAAGGTTCTTATACTTACCGTCTAATTATCAAAATAGCTCTGTCGAGCCAATCCCAATAATCACAGATAAAGCACATAAATTGATCAAGTTCATGCACTAACAATCATAACAAGTATAAGAAATAATCATAAAATCATAATTGCATAATCTCAAGAAAACGGGTTCACCATCCCCACATAGGGTTCCAACAAAATCCTAGATTAACAACTTATCTACTCATGTTCTCTGCGAAAAACATAATAAAAATATAAAAAGACATAGATTAAGAAAAGATAGATAAAAGAAGAATTGTGATGAAGATTTGTCAATTCTCCGTCTTCGATTCTTCGTTCTCTCGCTCCTCTCGCTCCAAGGTTGTGTCCAAAGTCCTCTAATTCGTGCTTGGTTTAGGCTTAAATAGATGTCCCAACTTGGTAGAAAACTTTAGGTTTCCTTGTGTGATTAAAAGTCCAAAATTGTCTCTAACGTGTTTTGGCACAGCCGCGCGAGAATCAATAATGCAATTCTCACACGGCCGCGCGAGAATCGCCGAAACCTTCTGCCCAACTTCTGCAGTTGGCGCGGTCGCCCAAAAAATAGGCTAAATTTGGCACGACCGCGCGGGCCAATTTTCAGCCAATTTTCAGCATATTTTGTTTTCTTCCGTTTTTGCCCGTTTTTGACATTTTTTGGCTCGTTTCATCCTTGGAACTTCCAAATGGTCAAGTTGTACCTAAAATACAATAAACCACTCATTAAGCATCATTAAATCAATAAAAGTATACAAAAATCCTCGTAAGAAAGTATACATTGAGTGTGTAAACTATACATTGAACAGTAGTTCATCTGCATGGCCGAAACCCAACAAACACGTCGTTCAATTAGGGTAAAGAAAATATTTTTCGTCGAAACCAAATGTTCAATGGTAATTTAAAAATGTTTTTCGACTAAAGGAAATGTTCAATTAGGGTAAAGAAAATGTTTTTTGTCGAAATAAAATGTTCAATAATTATGGGAAAGAAAAGGTTTTTTTGACGAAAACAAATGTTCAATTAGGGTAAATTAAAGAAAATATTTTTCGACGAAAAGAAATGCTCAATTAGGGTAAAGAAAATGTTTTTCAACGAAAAAAAATTAAATTCATAATCAATATTTTCCTAAATATTAGAACCAAACACTATATATAGTTCAGCTGTCAAACCAGCCACTGTTAGAATATTTCTCAATATTGCTCTCTCACGATCATGGCCGATCCACTAACTCGATGTGAAAAATGCCTTCTTACATGGCATTCTCTCTGAAATTGTCTACTGCGAGCAACCTCTCGGATTTGTCGATCCATCTTGCCCCACTCACGTGTGTCGTTTCAACAAAGCCCTATACGGTCTTAAGAAGGCACCCCGTGCTTGGTATAAGTTTTTTGCCTCTTACATTATACCACCATGGACTTCAAAGAATGCAAGTCTGACACTTCACTCTTTGTGTACTGTCACAACAGTTCTCGCGCCTTCCTTTTACTGTATGTCGATGACATTGTACTTACGGCCTCCACACTTGAATTGCTCCGCTCTATTCTTGCTGCCCTTAGTCAAGAGTTCGCAATGAAGGATCTTGGCGATCTTCACTACTTTCTCGGCATCTCCGTCACTCGCTCGTCGAATGAACTATTTCTCTCTCAACGCAAGTACGCCGACGAGATACCAGAGCGTGCACACATGGCTTCTTGCAACCACTGTCTCACGTCGGGCGACACAAAGAGCAAGTTGTCTTTGATCACTGGACTCTCGGTTACTGACCCTACCCTCTATCGCAGACTTGCCGGTGCACTGCAATACCCACTTTTACTCGTCCCGACATCTGCTACGTTGTGCAACAAATTTGTTTATTCATGCATAATCCGAGGGAACCTCATATGGCTACTCTAAAGCGTATCATTCGCTACATTCGTGACACTGTCGACCACGACCTTCTCCTCTCTCCCAATCCAGACCTCTCTCTTGTTGCTTACTAGCTCCGACGCTGATTCAGGTGGCTGTCCTGACCAGGGCCGGTCCATCGAATTTGGGGGCCCTAAGCAAGTTTTGAAAAAAATATCCATTTTTTCGATAATATTATGGAACTTTTTTGTAATTAATATATTTTTACATTAGAGGTGTTTATTAAACTATCAAAAACGAAACTACTATATACATATAAAATTAAGCAGTGAAACATGGTGAAGCAAAAACACAGTAGATTGAGTAAAATTTTGATGAACAAATAAAACTATTCCATGCATAGATAATTAAATCAATAAAAGAGGATAAACGTTCAATACAACAAATCACTTAAATATTACCCTTCTAGCATTTTTTGAAGCAAAATCACTAATAACACTCGAATAATCAATCTTTCGTACCATATCCTTCTCAATCGACAACATCGCTAGTCCGTTTAATCTTTCTTGCGACATGGTTGATCGGAGGTAAGACTTAATCAACTTTAACTTTGAAAATGTCCTTTCAGCTGATGCAACAGTAACTGGAATCGTCAACAAAATCCGGTAAGCAATCCATGTATTCGGAAAACCACCGCCTATAACCTGCAAATAATTCAACACTTCAATCGGCCTTTTTAGTTCTTCTGGTAAAATATATCTAAAGATTTTTAACTCCATACATAAATCCATCCCATCAATATCACAAGTGTCGTGTTTCAAATACTCTCCAAGGTTGACACAGTAAGTATTTAAAGCCTCATCACCAATCGATTTTAGTCTCTTGAAGTCGAGCAAAAAACCAAATTTCTCATCATATTTTTGAAGTTGTTCAAATCTGGTATTGAGCGACAGAAGCGCTTGATCTACCACATAGAGAAAGTACTTCACTCTAAAGCATTCTTCGGTTGATTGCAACACATCTTCACTAGAACTCTCGTCAAAATGTCTTCTTCTATGAATGATGCGTTTTTCAGAAAATACAGGATCAATTCCCATCTCGTTTGCAATTTCATTTGCTTCAGCCTTTGCCTCCGAAAATCCACTTTCTCTGTACTTCTCAAAAAAGGAAATTAATCCCTTAAGTTGTTTGATAGCAACATCAGTATCCATATCTTCAGCTTGAAGAATTTTGCTAACAACGTTTACAGTAAACAACACATTATGCCAGATAATCATGCCAAACAAGAACTCAAAATTCTCAAGTTCATGAGTGACCAAAGAATTAGCTTCACTCTTTGTTTTGGCGTCTTCTCTACTATTTGCCAAGTCAAGTAATGCATCTCTTATTTTTGGTGCTTGGTATCTAATAGCTCTAAGACTTTCAACACGGCTTTCCCATCGAGTTTGAGACAATGGCTTAAGTGTAAGCTCTTGAACATGACGTTTTAAAATATCCCACCGCTTTGTAGAGGATGCAAATAAAGTATAAATACGCTGCACTACTCCGAAAAAAGATTCAGCTTTGGTACAACAACCGGCCATATCACAAAGTGTAAGATTTAAACTATGACAACCACATGGTGTATAAAACGCTCTCGGGTTCACTTCAAGTAGTCTTCTCTGAACACCTTTGTGTTTTCCTTTCATGTTAGCCCCATTATCATAACCTTGACCTCTTATGTCGGCAATATCAAGTTCAAGAGTGTTCAATGCATCATTAAGTACATTAAAAAGGCCCAAACCTGTTGTGTCATCCACTTTCAAAAATTGCACAAAAAATTCTTTAATTGTTACCGGCACTGCTGAAATATCTACGCATCGAACCACCAAAGTCATTTGTTCTTCATGACTAATATCAGGAGTACAATCAAGTATTACGGAGAAGTATTTCACTTCTTTGATGATTTTCACAATTGCACTCCTAGTTTCATCTGCTAACATCTGAATCAATTCATTCTGAATCTTGTGACTGAGGTAATGAGGATGAATCGACCCACCCGTGATACGCCGGAGGTGGTCTTGCATAACTGGATCAAATTCTGCAATCATCTGAATAAAGCTTAAAAAGTTGCCATTGTTCTCTTGATCAATTTTCTCATGATCTCCACGAAATGCTAAATTATTATTAGCAAGCGTTTTCACCAGAGCAATTATCCTCAATAATACTTGTCGCCAATGTTCTCTCTCTTTATTGATTTGCACTTGCAAACTCTTGTCTATTGTCTCGTACTTTTTCAGTCTCATCTGCAAATCAATCCATTTACTCATGCATGTAAGGTGTTCTCTGCTGGTTTCGTGACTTTTAAGTCTTTTACCAATATTTCTCCAATCCTTGTATCCTTCAGCAGTTAGACGAGAGATGACTTTATCCTGCTTGAACAATTTACAGCAAAAACAGAATATTTTGTCTTCAACAAGGGAATATACCAACCATTTTCTATCTTGTTTCTCCCCATTTAACAGATCACGGACATAAAATGTACAAGAAAAATGTCTACCACTCCTATCTTTAGGAAAAGTGACATCATCATCTGTTATTCTTATTGGCCCTCTTTCTACCAAAATATTTCTCAGACTGTGATCAATCTTATCCCAATTTCCGGGATCGTAAATGTTCAAAGGCCCTGCTTCACAACCTTCTTGCTTATCCTCATTCGAATTTTCATCATTGTTTTGACTAGGTTCTTCGTTAGGTTCTTCGTTCACCAAGATATCACGTTCTTCATTCACTTGATCTTCATGTTGTTCCTCAATATTTAAATCAGATTCTGCCTCAACTGAAAAATCAGTGTTCATCGAATTCTCAACGGACTTTGAACCCGAACTTACTGTATTATTGCCCCTTGTTATAAACTTTTCAATTGTACCAGCCATAGATTGCACAAAATTTTCAACTTTTTGTTTCTTTTTCTTTTTATCATTCCCACACATATATTTTCGCGGACCCATAATTAGCAATTTCAATTCAGGACACCGGACAAACTCCAAAGAATTTAGTCTACAAAAAAAACCAGTACTATATTATAATAAGGGAAAAATTCATACTTGAATATAATAATTTATTAGCTTTGTTAAAATTTGATGCAAGAAAAGGGCCTATATTCAAGAAATTATATGTATATTATATGTCAAATACTCAAATTAAAGAACGCAAACCTTGTATGCAGATTTTGAAGAATGGGAAAAGCAATTCCCCTGCAACCGCCGCAGGCCCGCAGCCACCGAAAAAGTTAGAAAAATAGGTTTTGTAATTGTTTAACTTGTTTGCTAGTACAATACTATTCTTTTTAATTGATGTTTGACTTTTAGAGCTTTGGGCCCACAAAACAAAAGAAGCAATTTTCTTTTCTGCCGATCATGTAAATGAGAATATCAAATATTTAATTTTTGCAATATATATAATACACTTTTTTTTTTTTTGGGGGCCCCTTCCTAGTTGGGGGCCCAAAGCAAATGTTTCCCCTGCAATACCCATGGGCCGGGCCTGGTCCTGACACTCGTCGTTCGACATTTGGCTATTGCATTTTTCACGGCAACAACCTCATTTCTTGGTCCTCCGAACGACAGGTCACCACTTCTTGATCTATTGCAAATGCTGAATATCGAGTTGTCGCAAACGCCATCGCCGAAACGACTTGGTTGCGTAACCTACTTTCTGATTTGCTCTGCCCACATTCGAAAGCCACCATTGTCTATTTTGAAAATGTCAGTGCCGTCTACCTATCCAACAACCCTATTCAACACTCCCGAACGAAACATGTGGAAATTGATATCCACTTTGGTCGAGACAAAGTTGCTTTGGGATACGTTCGAGTTCTTCACGTCTCATCCGCCTACCAGTTTGCTGCTATTTTCACGAAAGGACTCCCTACTCAACTGTTTCAACAGTTTGTCTCCAGTCTTCACGTCATCTCCTTTCCCGTTTCGACTGCGGGGGTGTATTAGTGCATATTATTATTATTATTATTATTATTATTATTATTATTATTATTATTATTATTATTATTATTATAGATATATCTTGTAATCTTGCTATGTATATCTCTTAGTTACCTTGTGTAATATGTTAGGGTCCCTTCATGTAACTATATATATGCATAATACACCTGAGAAACATAATTCTCTCATTCTCTAACTCTATTTCTACTGTAGTATATGGCGATGAAACAAGAACTATTTGAACAAATCATCCTTATAAAAATCCATGATTACCCAATCGACCCACAAATGTAAGTACACATTTTTCTAAAACAGTAGAAAAATGACCGAAAGCGCAAATATAAAGACCATGGCTACACATTTATTAGGATGCAAGTAATAGAGTCGTTCTCCCGCCGCATCGGTGTCAAAATTGATTTGCTGACCTCTGACAACCTCCACCGGAAAGACACAACTACCCTCCGACGGGTCCGTGGGGACCACCTCCCCTAGCCCGTCGAATTCGCACGACGTCTCGTTTTGAAACATACTCTGGAAGTACATATTGAACGCGTACGATACGTTCTTGTTGTAATCCAGCTGGCTGCACGAGCCGCTCGGCGATAGGCTCGTGCAGTCGGCACGCTGACACGCATCGTCGAACTGAGCCTTCACCTTAAATTCATCCCTCGTGTCCCCGTTGAACACGCACCACCGTTGGGGCATCCGCATGATCCCCTTCGCCCGGACGGGATAGATGTCCCGCCCTTGTCCCGAAAGGTCAATCTTGAACTTCGGCTCGCCGTTGGATCGATAAATCCCCCAGTGGCGGGCGAAGGGGTAGCTGAAAGGGTTTTTAGGTTCGTCGGTGAGGCAGTGGACGAAGATTTCGATTGGCTTGCCCGGTCGCATGGGGGTGCCTCTTCCGCTAGCCACGTGAGGGAGGAGGTACTTGTAGAAACGCTCGGCCGTGGCGGCGTCGGCCCCCGGGTATCCGTCGGTGGGCCAGCCGATCTGGCTCACCACGATCTCCTGGTCGGGCGCTCCGGCCTTTCGGAGCGCCCAGACGAAACAGTCGTACAGGTAGTCGAAGATGTTGGTGTACACGGCCCCGTTTATGTCGCGGATGACGGTCTTGGATTTGTTGTCAGCGAAGGCGAAACTGAAGTCCAACCAAGGGTGGAATTTTATGTACTCGATGGGGAAGACTTCGGCGACGAAGGGGGCGTTGCTCTGGCGGAGGAGGCTGAGATGCCTCGCCATCGGCTCCTTGATCTCGCTCCGAAATTCGGCATAGGAGGGTCTCGTTACGTTGGTGATTACGATATCGGGATGGGGCAATGTAACCTTGATTTGGTCACCGTAGCTGGCGTTGTTTAAAGCGCTTTGCATCAGTTCCATTAGATCTAGCGCGGCTTCGGCTGAGCTCGTGTTGCCGCCGGTCTTTAACGCCGGCTTGAATTCGTGGTTTCCGAGAAAAATACGCCTGAGGAATCACGTTCACACACAAAAATACCTTTTAATGATTCTTTTATACAGTAGAACTTCGATAAATTAATAACCTCGATTAAATAATAGTTTCTCCCGGTCCCGACTCAGAAAAAACGTGTTAAATTATTAACTCGATAATTTAATAATTTGCTAAATTAATAGAATTTCCCTGATCTCGACTGTATTAATTTATAAAGGTTTAATTCTACCATTCAAAATATTGTCCTAAATAATGATTTTACTGAATTTAGTGCCTCTATGCTATTATCAAATTGCTTAAAAAGACCTTTGCGTTATTAATATTATAAGCAAAACACTCCTACAATTAATTTTTTTATTAACACCCAACCCCTAAATTGTGAGTTAATTTCTAGGGTTAGATTGCTAAAGAAATTGAATCATGTTTGCTAATATTATAAATAGTAAACGCACGGGTGTTGAATTAATGCAATAAATCCTTAAATAATAATAAGGGTTTAAACTAGATAAATCCCATGCATGCATGCATGCATGCAGTTTACCCTAATATTCTGCAACAAAAAAGAAACATATGTATAATATACCTTATGTTGGTGCTGTAGTAAACCGGGTCGATTTTCTGCCCGACCCAATCCCGGGCTTGTTGGGTACTGTTGATTATATTCAAAAACATGATTTGTACGGTTATGTTAATCCCACTTCCGGCGAAAGCCTCTAAAATGTCCGGCTGAGAACTGTAGATTCTGACGTCTCCGATCCCGTTCTGCAACATTAAATCGACCACCGTCGACGGAATCAATCTCTGCGCACTTTGTCTTCCCCAATTCATACCTATTGACCCTTCTGATCTTATTGCAAACAAAATTACAACCAATAAACAAGCAACACGTACCATCTTCATAAAACCCATATTTATATATAATATATTTATATGGGAACTAAGCTAGAAGTGGTCAATTACGAGATGATCCTTGATTAATTAGCTTCCTAATTAATTAATTATGGGTGTTTAGATGATTGAGATCATTTCTCAATTATCTGGAAATATGTAATGATGGAGAAGAAAGAAACATTTCTTGTCGGGTTTTTGATGTACACTTGGAGAATTTATATATAATTGTTTGAGTTAAGGATAGCCATTTAATTTATCTTGATGAAGATAAGATTTGTATCAAGAAAAATAAAATTATGGGTCAACTTTTTTCTAAGTATAGTAAATTATGAGTCATTTTTTGAGCTCATAACTAATATTGATAATTTCCTTAAAATCTTTGTGGGTCGGATAATGGATAAAATCGTCACTTGTCGAAACTAACACAACACAGTTTTGGTATGTAATTTTGTAGGTGCGTGCTATTTTCGTACGCGGCAAACACTTGTATAATCCAAAATGTTTGAGTACTTTGTAATTGGATAAATGGATATTCTAAAAGTCGAAGTGTAACGAGCTAGGAGTTCGAGCCAGAAATGGAAGAGAGGTCAAATGCACGCGAGATGAATAGACGAGCCGCGAATGCAAACACTATTGACGCGAGTTCTTCGTTGGTTAGAACGTATATGATTCGTTAACTAGGTTTAGGTTTTTAATGTGCTCAAGCCCATCAAATATATATATTAATTGGCTCCCATCAAGTATTAATTAAGTTGGCTTCCATGAATCATAGTCTTTCACCCCATTTGGGGGATAATATGCTAGAGGTCCCTTGTTGAAAATATAATTAGATGTGGAATACAACCTTAATATTTTTTTATGAACTAAATCATTTTTAGAAAAATAAATATGAGTCACATCCTCAATTTTTCTTTTATCTCTAATTTACACTTAACCTAAATCCATAAATTATAAAGTTACGTTTCTCTCAGATTTATTTTAATTTTCGTTTTTCTTCTCTCTAGCAATCTCGCTCTCTCATGTCTCTCGCAATCTCACACTCTCTCTCTGTCTCTCGCTGTCTATTTCTCTCTCTCTCTCTCTCTCTCTCTCTCTCTCTCTCTCTCTCTCTCTCAATCTTTATCTCTCTATTTTTCGATATCGCTATCTCTCTCTGTCTCTTTTGTTCTCCACCACTTCAATCCACTATTGAGGGGGCCGGTGGTTATGGCGGTGGAGACGACGGCAATATGGTTGTAGAGGCAAGGAGATGGCAACTATGGTGGAGTAAGGTCAGATCTACGGTGGAAGGCGCGGCGACGGTGTTGGGCATGGATGATGGCGTGATGGCAGCGCTCGGTGATGGTGGTGGTGGTGGAGGAGCGGATCTAGGGTTTGGTGAGAAAAATTAAAAAAAAATCGATTTGGATGTCTATGGGTCTGGCGGCTAGGGTTTGTAGGAGGAATTAGGGTTTCAAGATGTCTTAGGGTTTCAAGATGTCTATGGGTGACTACGGATTACTACGGTTTCTATGGATTTCTGTAGATGTCTACGAGCGAAAAAAAAAAATCATAATTTTCAATTTATAAAAGAAGGGGAAAAAAATAGATGTTTATATAATGAATAAATATGGGGAAAAAATGTGTTTCACGTAAAAATAAAAAAATGCTAGATGCAAACTTAAAAATGTTAAATAATACCATAGATCATCATAGTATATTTACAATTTGGTGTAATTTCGAATTTGTGAGTGGAGGGGCATTTTTGGAATAAATTTAATAAATGATGTGAAGCAAATTTTAGTTAGACTTGTCATTTAGTTCTGTTAATGTTTGTCACCAGAGACTTATATCTTAAGACCCCTTTATTTTAAGTGCATAAATTTTTTTACGAGTCAAACATCAAATAAAGTCCATATACACCAATATGTGGTAATCAATAAAGGTTACGGATATATATAATTTACAGTGAGAGTCAAATTATGTCCAACGGTGTGTTGTAATATTGCATGTTTTGACCATAGATTATTAAGGCTTGTGAAATTCTACATCTAATAAAATATACTATGTATTTTTAAACCGTACATCTATATAAATAACTATTCACGTACACACATACACATAAGTGTATGTGTTATTGTTTATATATCGATGATATAAAAATACATGGTGTGCACCAGATATAGGTTCTACACAACTAAACAGAATATTAAACAACGAAAACATATATAAGAAACGGTAATATAATATATCTTGAGCAAATTACGGCCACCCTTAAGTTAATATTAAACTATGAAAACTCCTCTCCTGTTTGGATAATTACAGTTACCCCCTCAACTATGCATTATTTTACGAAAATACTCCTATTGAGATAAATTTAGGGATGTCAAATCAGTAAAACCGAACCAAAATTTCGGTACGCCAACATTTCATATCATTTACCGAATTGAATATAGAATTTGGTTCGGTATATAACTGAATTACATAAATTTTATATAAAAATATTTGAAAGGAGGGGTGTCTGTAATTACCCAAACAAAAGAAGTTTTTTCGTGATTTAGCCATACCTCAGGGGTGGCCGTAATTTGACCAATGTATCTATAATGATAATTTTATTATGTATTGACATACTTATCCAAAATTACAGAATTCCCCAACTTTTTGGGGGAAAAAAACCCTAATTTCGTACAAGATTGATTACAATCTATGACGTAGGTGCAACGTCACTTTCTAGCAATTTAACGATACCCAAACGGCGGTAAGCAAAAACACAAAGATCGGTGACGGCGGCGCAAAACGCCGTCGTCCTTGCCCACTTCTGGTAAAATTAAAATTAATCTGCTGACCCTTGACCACCTCCACCGGGAAAACACAGTCCCCCGTCGACGGATCCTCCGTCACCACGGCGGCGTAGCCGCTGAACACGCACTCCCTCTCGTCCTGAAACGCCATCTGAAAGTACATGTTGAACGCGTACGACACGTTCTGGCTGAAGCTCAGCCCGCTGCAGGAAGCCCCCGGCGCCAGGCTGGTGCAGTCAGCCACCTTGCACGCCGCCGTGAATTCCTCCACCACCTTAGTCTTGTTGAACACCTTCACGGGGTTACCCGTGTACACGCACCACCGCTCCGGCATCCGCATAATCCCCTTCGCCCTCGCCGGATATATATCCCGCCCTTGCCCAGAAAGATCAATCTTGTACTTCGGCTCGCCGTTGGTCCGGTAGATCCCCCAGTGGCGCGCGTAGGGGAAGTAGTCTCCATTCATATTCTCGTCGGTGAGCGCGTGTATGTACGTGTCGATCGGTTTCCCCGGCCGCATCGGCGTACCTTTGTTGCTGGTCACATAGGGCAGAAGGTGTTTGTAGAAATTCTCAGCTGAAGTTGTGTTTCCCCCCGGCAAGCCGTCGGTGGGCCACCCCACCGCCCCCACCACTATATCCAAATCGGGCACCCCGGCTTTCTTTATGGCCCACACGAACGAGTCGTGCAAGAAGTCGAAATAGTTTGTGTACACGGCCCCGTTTACGTCTTCGATGATGTGGCTAGGGTTGTCTGAGGGGCCCGCGAACTCGATGCCCAGCTTTTGTTTGACGGCGTAATAGATCGGGAGTATTTCGATAACGAGTGGGGCTTTATTAGCCTCGAGGATTTTGAGGTAGTTGTACATTTGTTCCTTGAGTAGGTCTCGGAAATCGGCTTCGGATGGTCTCGTAATCTTTTCGACGTTGATTACGTAGTCGGAATGCGGCATCGTTACCTTGATTACGCCGCCGTATGCACGTTGGTTGATCGCTTCTTGCATTGACGTGTATGCATTCATTGCAACTTGTAAAATGGTTTTGTTCAACATTCCCATTGAAAATGCGTTGAATCCTATGTAAACGCGCCTGCAAAACAAAAAAAAAAAAAAAAAAGAAAAAAACAAAACCGTATCACGTATTTCATTTGTCGATTAAATCGTGCAAATTGAATGAGGCAAACTTGTGCGAATCAAATTTTTTGTTGATATTCAAATCAGAAGGTTGAAAACTCTAGGTTGTGTTTGGATCGACGAAAATGTTAAGTAAACAAATTAATTAAAGCACCGCGTAAAACACATTCAGGTTTTCTATATCTTCTTCAAATCTAATTCTTCTTCATTCGAGAAAACACCATAGCGGTACGTAGTTCATCTTCATGGCCGAATCCCAACAAACACGTGTTTCATTAGGGTAAATAAAATGTTTTTTCGTCGAAAGAAAATGTTTTTCGTGGAAAGCAAATGTTCAATAATTATGGTTATAAAGAAAAGGTTTTTTGACGAAAGCAAATGTTCAATTAGGGTAAAGAAAATGTTTTTCGAAGAAAGCAAATGTTCAATTATGGTAAAGAAAAGGTTTTTTGACGAAAGCAAATGTTCAATTAGGGTGAAGAAAATGTTTTTTGACGAAAGCAAATGTTCAATTAGGGTAAAGAAAATGTTTTTTCGACGAAAGCAAATTCATAATCAGTTTCCTAAATATTAGAACCAAACACTATATATAGAGATCATCATCAAATTCCTCGTTTTTCATCTGCTTTTGCATTTTCATTTCTCCTCATCTTCAAAATCCACGAACCAAACAGAGCCTAAACCGAATGAATGTATACCTTATATTGCAGCGTTCGACGTATTGAAAACTCGTGTTCATCCATTGCACTGCAGCTTCTTTAGTTTGTACGGATTCGTAATCGAAGAGGGTGATGGTGAGATCAATCCCACTTCCATCGAATGCCTTCAAAATATCTTCGTCCGCGGAATAAATTCTCGCCTCTTTAATCCCGTTTTGCAACAACAAGTCAACCACCATCGACGGAGTCAGTCTCTGCGCATTGTTCCTCCCCCAATTTATACCTATTGCGCCTTCACCGCCGCCGATGCTCAGCCCTAGCAATATTGCCGCCACGATAAACGCCATCTTGCGTATCATCGTCGCCGCCTTCGATCGACTCGCCCTAATTGATCAGATGATTTCTCGATTTAGGGCTTGATTAATTGATGTACCAAGGAAGATGCATACATATACATACATATACTTTATATATGTATGTGTGTATATATATGTATGATCTTTTTTTTCTTTTTCTCAGAAATATTAGAGCGGAAAAAATATATATTATCGAGTTTATGCTGACGAGAAGGATTATATTATATATATATGCATAATAATTTGTGTTGATGGAATTTTCCTATTTTTCTGGGGAGGAAATGAGAGGTGGCAATTCATTTTGTGTTCATGAAGTCAATATGAGAGATTGTCAAATTCTTTTGAACGTTGACTTTTTTTCTTTTCTCTTTCTTCTAATTCTCACCCATGCTCAAGTTTAATTCTTGATGTATGTTGACCGGAAATATATGATTAGTTGACTTGACTTGGGGTTTTGTTAGGGGAGAAAATGAGAGATACCAATTCATTTTAATAATATCCAAATTTCTAATCTTAACCATTCATAATGCATGAATCAGATTGATCCAACGCTTCGATCTTCTCCGGTGCTCTTTGGACAAAAATTGCTCATGTGTTCCTTGAAGAATGAGCGTAATTCTTTCTTTCTATCTTATTTCAATCATATTTAAAATTTTACAATAGTATAAATTTAAAATATAGGATAAAATTTATTTTACACCCCTATACTTTGCGAAATGTATCATTTAAATTACATAATTAATTGACACAAATTCTATTGCATAGTTGTATGCAATGAATAAATATTCATGCAATACCAAGATTCTTAGGAATTAATATGGCTCTTTATTATTTATTTTATCAACTACACATAAGTTATGAGGAAAAGTTATATTTTCCGTTTGCTCCAATTCCATTTTTGGTCCCCATGTTTCAAGGTGGACATAATTAACGTTAATTTACAACTTTTAAACACATTTGGTCCACCCCATTAGTTGGTCGTTAATGACTAGCGAAAAATACTTTTTTTGGGGCTACAATTAGGATTTAAAGTTGATTTGGGGCTAAAAATAATTTTCAAAATTATTCCTTTGATCAAAAAAAAGAAAACTTAAATATAAAGGACTATTTTCTTAGAAACTCACATATACGATATCATTTTCTGGCCAAAGTCAAAGCCTTTGGCGGACCGTTGCAAAGAGTCGTTGATTTTTTTCTGATAAATATGCCCCCAATAATCTCTATATTGCTTGGTTTTAGAATTTTCATCTTTTCAGCCCCTTTTTTTTTAATTTTGATATTGAATTCTTGCATTTTGTTGAGTTTATTTCCCTAGTGTTTCAATGTCGTCTAATAGTTCAAATTCCCAATAACCATGTCTTATTTTTCCCGAAACAAATTTATGGATTCTATCATATATGAAACAGGGTAAAAGAGTCATTGCACACTCAAATTTAAAGTAAACCGTTAAAGGTCTGACCATCGACAGTAAGAAAATAGGTGGCCAAATTTGATATTCTCTATACATCAAGGGGGTAAACGACACATTTCTCATAGTACATGGTGCAAAAATGAATTTCGGTGGGTGGTTTTCACTTCCTAGCAATTTAACAAAACCCAAAGGACGGAAAGCAAAAACACAAAAATTGGTGCAAGAAGTCGATCTTGTCCACTTTTGGTAGGACGGTAATTATCCTGCTGACCCTTGACCACCTCCACCGGGAACACACAACCATCCGTCGACGGATCCTCCGCCACCACGACGGCGTATCCGCCGAATGAGCACGCGCCCTCGTCCTGGAACTTGGTCTGAAAGTACATGTTGAACGCGTACGACACGTTGTTCTGAAAACTCAGCCCGCTGCAAGAACCCCCCGGCGCCAGGCTGGTGCAGTCAGCCTTCCGGCAGGCGAGCTTGAATTGCTCCACCACCGCAGACTTGTTGAATCCCTTCACCCGATTCGTGTACACGCACCACCGCTCCGGCATCCGCATAATCCCGTTCGCCTTCGTCGGAAATATATCCCGCCCCTGCCCGGAAAGATCGATCTTGTACTTCGGCTCGCCGTTGGTCCGGTAGATCCCCCAGTGGCGCGCGAAGGGGAAGTAGTCTCCATTCATATTCTCGTCGGTGAGCGCGTGTATGTACGTGTCGATCGGTTTCCCCGGCCGCATTGGCGTCCCTTTGTTGCTGGTTACATAGGGTAGAAGGTGTTTGTAGAAATGCTCAGCTGAAGATGTGTTAGCCCCCGGCAAGCCGTCGGTGGGCCACCCCACCGCCCCCACCACTATGTCCAAATCGGGCACCCCGGCTTTTTTTATCGCCCACACGAACGAATCGTGCAAGACGGTGAAATAGTCTGTGTAGACGGCCCCGTTTACGTCCTCGATGACGTGGCTAGGGCTGTCCGTGGGGCCCGCAAAGTCGATGCCCAGTTTCTTATTGATGACTTGATAGATCGGGAGTAATTCGATTATGAGCGGGGCTTTGTTGGCCTCGAGTTGTCGGAGGAAACCGTGCATTTCTTCCCTGATCTCGTGTCGAAAATCGGCTTCGGACGGTTTCGATACCTTTTCCATGTTGAGTACGTAGTCGGGATGCGGCATCGTGACCTTGATTTCATCGGCGTATGATCCTTCGTTGATCGCTTCTTGCATTGACGTGTATGCGGTGAGCGCAGCTTGCAAATCGGTTTTGTTCGTAATTCCTCTAGAAAATGCATCGACTCCTATATAAATGCGCCTGCAAAAAAAAAAAAACGTATTTTATTTGTCCAATAAATCGTGGAAATTGAGTGGGGCAACCATGTCAAATCAAAATTTTGCTCATATTCAAATCCGAAGGTCGAATATCCTCTTCAAATTCTTTGTTTTTCATCTGCTTTTGCATTTTCATTTTTCCTCGTCTTCAAATTCCACGGACCAAACAGAGCCTAAACGAATGGACATTGTAAAAAACCGCAAGAGTTTGACAAAGCGCGTTTTGTTATATATATATATATATATATATATGTATATATATACCTTATTCTGGAGTTTTCAAGGTACCCAATTTTCGTGCTGATCCATCTCTTGGCGTCGTCTTTACTTGCGATAGAGGAAAAATTAAATATGGTGACGGTGAGATCAATCCCACTTCCGAAAAATGCCCTCAAGATATCCTCTTGCGCATTATAAATTCTCGCCTCTTTAACGCCGTTTTGCAACAGCAAATCCACCACCATCGACGGAATCAATCTCTGCGCGTTGTTCCTTCCCCAATTTATACCTATCGCACCTTCCCCGCCGCCGATGTTCAGCCCTAGCAAAATCGCCGCCATGATAAACGCTATTTTGCATATCATCTTCGTTCGACTCGCCCTAGTTCAGATAATTTCTCGATCTAGGGCTTGATTAGTTATGTACGAAGGAAGATGCATACATATATACATGCATATACATACATATATGTATGTATATATATATGTTCATGTATGTACATATATGTGAATGGGTATATGTACGATCTTTTTCGTTTTCTGAGAAGAAGAGCGGGAAAAAGATATATTATCGAGTTCGTTTATGCTAACGACGAGGATTATATACATGCATAATAATTTGTTGATGGAGGTTTCCTATTTTCTTGGGGAGATCAAATGAGAGATGGCTATTCATTTTCTGTCCATGAAGTTAAAACGAGAGATCACAGTTTCTTTCCTTTTTTTAATTTAATTTTTATTTTTATTTTTTATTTTTAATTTTTAATATTTTCTTTATAATTCTCACGCATGCTCAAGTTTAATTCTTGATTTATGTTGACCGGAAATATATGATTAGTTGACTTAATTTGGGGTTTTGTTGGGGGAGAAAATGAGAGATACATACTCATTTTCTTATCCATGCAATTTTTTTTAAGAAAAGGCAACATTTTTAATCACTAAAAACTTGTCGTTAATTTTTTTTTTTTTTTTTGGGTACTAGAAGTGGTCTATCTAATACACTATTCCTCAATACAAAAAATAAAATCAGAGCTCGATTTTTCGACAATTTACGGCTTACCCAAAAGTTTATTGTACTAGTCGAACATCGAATAACGTCAACATATATAATGTTGTGGTATGTGGCGCGCTAAGGAGCACCGAGATTGCGGAAGTAGATGGTTGTGATAATTTGTCACGAGCAAAACATTATATTTGTTTGTATTTCGGGAAAATATTTAAGTAGAGTTTAGAAAATAAACTATTTTTCTGAAATGAGTTGATGTCTTCTCTGCTTATAAAGCATCGAATCCTTGCATTTACGGTAATCGAACTATTATCAAAATAAAACGAGGGTTTCTTTAGTAATTAAACAAAACAAAGGGGGTACTGAATGCAATAAACCCAAATATTAACTACCGATTTTTCATATTGTTAAAAAACAAGATCGAGTTAAATAAGACATAACAAGTTAACCGCAGTTAAAACAACTTATCAGATGTGAGAGCTTATCAACTGTTTAAAATAAGTTCAGCCAAACGGGCCCTAAGTCTAGGATTCATAGTTAAGGGGAAATATATACCGCCCTTGATCCGACAGATCGATCTTGTACTTGGGCTCGACGTTGCTCCTGTAAATCCCCCAGTGGCGCGCGAAATCATATCCAAAAGGGTTTAAATTCTCGTCGTTTAGTGCGTGCATGTAGGTGTCAATGGGGTTCAAATGCGCGTTCTTTAACGAGAATAAATTAACCAAAAACGAAAACCTCTAACCACTAAAGTTTATACGAAAACAACGAAAGCAAAAAAAAAAATTCTGTAAATATTAGTATATCTATAATTATAATTTCGTTATGTATCTATATATTATGTATTGCATGTTATTTAAAAAAAAAACTTTATTTATCAAAATTTCAGAGTTTCACAACTTTTTGGTATTTGAATAGATCTAAAAAAAACCCCCAAATTCAAAAACGGATTGGAAAGGAAAAACCCTAATTTCGTACAAGATTGTTGCAACTTTCTAGCAATTTAACAATACCCAAAAAGACGGAAAGCAAAGACACAGAGAACGGTGCGAAAAGACGATCTTGCCCACTTTTGAAAATGAAATTTTCTTGTTGACCCTTGACCACCTCCACCGGGAACACGCATTCATCCGTCGACGGATCCTCCGTCACCACGGTGGCGTAGCCGCCGAACACGCACTCCCTCTCGTCCTGAAACATCATCTGGAAGTACATGTTGAACGCGTACGACACGTTCAGAGTGAAGCTCAGCCCGCTGCAAGAAGCCCCTGGCGCCAAGCTGGTGCAGTCAGCTCGTTTGCATGCGTATTTGAACTCTTCAATCACCCTACTCTTGTTGTACCCCTTCATGTTTTCCTTGTACACGCACCACCGCTCCGGCATCCGCATAATCCCCTTTGCCCTCGCCGGAAATATATCCCGCCCTTGCCCGGAAAGATCAATCTTGTACTTCGGCTCGCCGTTGGTCCGGTAGATCCCCCAGTGGCGCGCGTAGGGGAAGTAGTCTCCATTCATATTCTCGTCGGTGAGCGCGTGTACGTAGGTGTCGATGGGTTTCCCGGGCCGCATTGGCGTGCCTTTGTTGCTGATCACATAGGGCAGAAGGTGTTTGAAGAAATGCTCGGCTGTAGATGTGTTCCCCCCCGGGAAGCCGTCGGTGGGCCACCCCACCGCCCCCACCACTATATCCAAATCGGGCACCCCGGCTTTGTTTATTGCCCACACGAATGAATCGTGCAAGAAGGTGAAATAGTCTGTGTAGATGGCCCCGTTTACGTCTTTGATGACGTGGCTAGGGTTTTCCGAGGGGCCCGCGAAGTCAATGGACAGATTTTTTAGGAGGACGTAATAGATCGGGAGTAATTCAATGACGAGTGGGGCTTTGTCGGCCTCGAGGAGTCGGAGGAAACCGTGCATTTCTTCCTTGATCTCGGGTCGGAAATCGGCTTCGGACGGTCTCGTTATGTTTTCGACGTTCAGTATAATGTCGGGATGCGGCATCGTTGCCTTGACGTAATCGTATCCGGAATCATTGAGCGCGGCTCGCATGAAATTGTACGCCCTGAGTGAATTATTCAGAGACTTTTTGTCCGTAATTCCTTGAGCAAATGCATCGAATCCTATATAAATGCGCCTGTAAACCCAAAAAAAAAAAAAACGTTTTTTGTAGTAATAAATCAGAAGGTTGAAAGGTCTAGGTTGCGTTTGGATCAAGGAACATGTTAAGTAAAAATATTAAAGGATTGCGTAAACAGATTTTCCGTTTGGTTAGGTGTTAATTCAACACTAAATAAATGATTTGTAGTAATAATATTTTACGACATTACCTATTAAAAAAAACGAGGAAAACTACACGTAAAATGCAACAGGTTTTCAACGTCATGATTTTCGACAAAAGTGAATTCATCACCATTTTCCTAAGAACCAAACACGACTGACGATCCTCAAATTCTTTGTTTTTCATTTTTCCTTATCTTCAAAATCAACGAACCAAACAGAGCCTAAACGAATCGATACAGCAAACTGTAAGAGTTTGACAAAGCGCGCGTCGTTATATATATATATATATATATATATATATATATATATTTGTAAATACCTTATATTGGAATGTTTGGCGTATTCAAGCTTCTGGCTGAGCCATTTTTCAGCTTCGTCTTCAGAATCTATGGCGTGAAAATTAAAGAGGGTGATGGTGAGATCGATCCCACTTCCGGTAAACGCCTTCAAAATATCCTCTTGTGCATTATAAATTCTCGCCTCTTTAACGCCGTTTTGCAGCAGCAAATCCACCACCATCGACGGAATCAATCTCTGTGCATTGTTCCTTCCCCAATTTACACCTATTGCACATTCCCCACGGCCGATGCACAGCCCTAGCAAAATCGCCGCCACGATATACGCAATGTAATTGCATATCATCTTCGTTCGACTCGCCCTAATTCAGATGATTTCTCGATTTAGGGCTTGATTAATTGTGTACCGAGGAAGATGCATACATATACATTTACGTATACATATACATATACATATACATATACATATACATGTACATGTACATGTACATGTACATATAAATGTATATGTATACGTATGATCTCGTTTTCGTTTTCTCAAAAGCAGAGAGGGGGAAAAAGGAAATTGTCGAGTTTATATGCATAATAATTTGTTGATAGATGTTTCCTATTTTTTTGGGGAGAAAATGAGAGATGGCAATTCATTTTCTCTCCATGCAATTTAAAGTGAGAGGAAGCATTTCATCTTTATTTTTAATATATGCATATGACCCCCTATAGTTTGAACTTTGTGCATATGACCCCCTTTACTTTTAATATAAGCACATAAACCCACATATGGTATTCCGTATTACACTTGGTAAATAATCATGCTCGTTATAAAGATGATTTTTTTAAAAGTACAACTGGTTACGTGCTTATATTAAAATACAAGGGTTTCATGTGTTATATTGAAAGTACAATGGGGTTTATGTGCACAAAGTTCAAACTACGGGGGTGTAAGTGCTATTTACCATAAATTAAAATAAGAGGTTGATTTTTCAACAATTTCGAGCTTACCCCATTCTTCTGCGACATCAAATCCACCACCATCGTCTTCCCCAATTCAAAACTACCGCGCCGTCGCCGCCGGAGAACATGAATATCGCCGTCGCCGCCGGAGAACATGAATATCGCCGCCGCAATATAATTGCGGTATCATCTTCAGCGGTCGCCGCCGTGAAATGAAATCGACTTGCCCTAACGGAGGTGATTTATCAGTTTCGGGCCTGATTTGTGTACGAAATTGAAGGAAGGCCCGCTTTGTTTTTTCTTCCTAATTTCTCACAAGTATACAGTGGCGGATCCAGGACGAAAATTCAGGGTATGCCGGCTGTGCCGAGTACAAAACTGTATAGGGGTTAAATTTTTGGGGGTTCGGGGGCAGCGCCCCCGGAAAAAAAATTTGAACCTTTTTTTGTTGGATAAATTAGGAGAAGGGAAAAAAAAATTGAAATTTTTCTTTTTTTGATAAATTAGGAGAAGAAAAAATTTGGGACTTTTTTTGTATATTTTGAATTTGGGTGAACGAAATAATAATATAGATATAATATAATGTGTTTTTTGGGAGATGGGCTAAAAAACAAGAAAAAATTTAGGATTTTTTTGTATATTTTGAATTTTGGGTGGACTAAATAATAATATAGATATAATATATTGTGTTTTTAGGGAGAGGGGCTAAAAAAACAAAGAAAAAAGTTATGATTTTTTTTGTATATTTTGAATTTTGGGTGGACTAAATAGTAATATAGATATAATATAATGTGTTTATGGGAGAGGGGCTCAAAAGAAATTTTGACAAAAAAAATGAACAATACTTTTTTGTACCATAATGGAGTCGAACTCATGACCTTATGTAACAACTTGGAGATCTTTGCCACTAAGGCAAATTTATTTTTTTTATTTGGGGTGGTCCATGGCATACTTGCCCACCCCCTAGATCCGCCCCTGCAAGTATATATATATATATATATAGGTTTATTTATGTTGACCGAGAGTTGACTTGACTGAGAATTGAAAATGAGAGGAAGCAGTTCATCTTTAATTCTTGAAACTTGAAAGTTTGTCGTTATGTTTTTCAATTTTTTTATTTTATTTTTCTCAATATTTTATATTTTTAAATAAATTTAATATTTTTTTCTCAATTATTACTCGTTTTCTTTAAAATTCTATACATAGCCGTGATAATAAATTTATAGAATTTAAATTTGAATATAATCATACATAAAAATCTTCAGATAACAGCTCAATTTTTCGACAATTTCGAGCCGACCCGAAGTGTATTGTACTAGTCGAACACCAACGAGAGAAAAACATTTTAGAAGTAGAAATTAATAATAAACAAGAAAATGGATCAGGATAATAGTAGTTGCATACGTGCATTGTTCAAAAGATCGGCAATATTGCTCGTGGAAGTAGAAATTAATAATAAACAAGAAAATGGATCAGGATAATAGTAGTTGCATACGTGCATTGTTCAAAAGATCGGCAATATTGCTCGTATAATTAACTACACAACAAAATTTCTTCTTTCGACATAAAAAAAAAAAAAAAAAAAAAAAAAAAAAAAAAAAAAAAATCGACAACAAAGTTAAGGCTATAACCTATTTAATCCTTCATTTATACCAACCTGTAAGGAACCACCGTAGCAAAAAACAGAATCCGCAGCATAAAGCCTGCAGCAAAACGGAATCTAGTTATGCTTCTGGTTAAGGGATCGTTTGGTTGTCAAGATAGGTAATCTTACCGACCAAACGAGTCCTTAGTATAAAAGGGTTAATCGGTTCCGAAGGAGATTGGCAGAAAACAGTTTTAAGAATAATAGTAGTTTTAGTTAATTACCTGGAAAATTAATAATAGTATACAGAGTGACTTCTCTGTTTTTCTTCCAAACTGTCTTAAGAATAAGTTCACGAGGGTCCCGTCGTTCGTCCCTGTTAATAGGCCTGATTTGGGGTCGAACCTGGGATTAAAATAATAAATAAATAAAAATTAATGTCGTTATTAGGTAAATTTATTCCTACATGACAGGAAGCTTGAAAGCAGCCAATGAACCTACCTAGGCAGACGATGACGTGGACAAGGTATAATACCAGCCAGCTGTACATTGAATCGGTGTTAGTTTATATGTATAATGTTGCATGTGTGTGTGTGTGTGTATGTGTGAGAGAGAGAGAGAGAGAGAGAGAGAGAGAGAGAGAGAGAGAGAGAGAGAGAGAGAGAGAGAACCTGAGGGAGTGAAAGCAAGAAGTTGAGAACTTGTGGAGCAAAAAATATCAGAAGTGTTTCACTGAGAAAAAAGAATCAGAAGTATCAACAAATCAGTTAAAACCCGAAAGCAGAATTCTTTTAATTATACTTGAGAATTAGAATTAAAAAAAAAAAAAAAAAAAACGGTAAATACGAACCTGAAATGGCCTAAAATGCCAGCTACAGCCATTGTCATTCCAGCAAAGTAAGTGTAGGTGTCACCGACAAAAACCGAAGATGGATACCAATTAAACGAAAGTAAAGCTAACGAAGTAGCCAACAACGGCTGAATAAGGTAAATCGAGAATGCATGCGCTTGCTTGTACTCAAAATCGGACGACCCTCCAATTTGTACGATATTGTGTATTAAGATCTGCATTTACGGTATATTCATCTTGTAAAATCAGATTTAAATAACGAATACAATCGGGGTTTTTTATATATATTGTTTTCTTACAGCACAAGAAATAACAACTGTCTGTCCAACTTCGAGCCCGTTGAGACCAGCATGAATGTTAATCGAGTTAGTGCAGAATACAGCCAAGAGCCCCATATACAGCTTATATATCCACCCTGTAAATTCCATGTTAAACGAAAAAAAACAAAAATAGAAATAAATAAATAAATATTATTTGCAAAATTAGTTACCTAAATCTAAAATATCGAATCCAACATATGGAGCGAGTGGCTTTGGTATGATGATAGTTGTATGCCCAGCATAGGCCATCAACAATGGAAGCGCTGCAATAGACGGCAGCACTAATTTCCTGTCTTGAAAATCAAATTAAAAAATAAGTACCGATAAAAGATGTTATTTTTATATTTTTAAATAATGGAGAAAGACATAAAAATTAATACTCACACTCTCCAAGGTACGTCGAGGACATCATCCACGAATCCGAGCAGAATCATGAAGCAAATTGATGCTAGCGCAGCATTGTATTCAACGAGCCACTTAAGAATTTAAAAAAAAAAAAAAAAAAAAAAGTTATATGAATTTTAAAATTTATAAAGAATGTATGATATAAGAGAAGCAAAGCACACGATACTTACATTTGAATCGGCGGTGAAGTTGAAGTATTGAAACAAGATCGTAAGTACTAGAAAAACTATCCCGACTACAATACCCAAAGATTCCGGCCTGCACAACGTCAATATAATCACATGTTAGAAATAAGTAAACCACCATCAGAAGTTCAACTAGGAAATTCAATCTGATCTACATTACTCATTTAACAGATCCATTTTCAATCTATTTTCATCAATACTAAAGTTCATGTAACAACACTAAAATTACTTATATTGAGGCGAAGCACCGGGAAAAAATTTCTATATATTATTTTTACACCAAATCCTCCACAAAAAAAAATTGGCGAAATTACGGCCACCCCTGAAGTAAGGTCAAATTACGGAAAAACCACTCATGTTTGGGTAATTACAACCACCTGTCAACTATGAATATTTTTCAGTTTGTACCCGTTTTACCCCATATTAGCTCCACATTTTGAAACAAGATGAATTGTTTCTTGGCTTGTAAATATCAAATTGTGGTGCATAAGAATCTGTATATCTTAGCACAAAACGAGTACAAACTAGAGAACATTCCGCAGAATCTAGAAGATTCTGTTGAATTTGACACCATAAGGGTGTACGTGTATGAAGATTCATAGTTGAGGGGATTCTAATTACCCAAACACGAGGGATTTTTTCGTAATCTGACCTCACCTCATGGGGCGGCCGTAATTTCCCCAAAAAAATCAGATGAATGATTTACTTTACTGGCATTTAAAATTCAAATTCAGATACTAACCCTAACAATGAAGTTGTAGGAAATGTACCCAAAATGCAGGATTAATCCAATTCAAGAATATGCAATTCAGCCCAACATTAACATAATCCACAACCCACAATTCAAAATTCAGAAATCCCAGATACCCTAAACTCAAAAATGGGGGAAAAATAAATTAATTAATTAATTAATTAAGAAATTAAACTTACACTTTGATGGATCCATCAGGAGTGCCTTTCTTGTTAATATCATAACCAAATAAATTCCTTCTCGACACATACTTCGACGCCACAGGAATCAAGCTCACTGTAATGAAGAAACCCACACAGCTGATCACCGCATTAATCAAGATCGATTTTTTTAGGTCGTGTTCAATTTTGTAGTAAGAGAGAATCAAAAAAAAATATGGGATCGAGAATACGAGGAAGAATTTAGAGATTGTGAAGAATTTCGCCGGCCGAATCAGAGGATCCGTTTGGTTGGTTTCGGGTTTAGGTTTTTCCGGTTCGGGTTTTGTGGTGGTGTCTGTTACTGAAGCTCGCTTCTTAGCGGCCATTGCTGCTTCTCTCTCTAAACGGGTACTGTTTTCTCTCTCTATATTTATAAATAGTATTATAAATAGTAAATACACACACATATGATGCAAACGTGGATCTTGGACTTACAGTTCAGCCAATAGAATTTGGACACGTATGATCAGTTTGTCATGTGTGGGATTCATGAGATGTGGTGGCAGCTGACGTGGCACTGCGGATTATATTTAGAATATCTTTTCATTGCTTTTAAATTACAGAAAATATATTAGTTAGCTGACATGGGCCTTTCAGCAATATAGTTTTCCGATTTAAGGACCCTAATCTGGTGGACCCATAACCCACAAGTCCCATGTTTTAAACATGGTTGTGATAATGAGTAATGACTTCCTTCTGATTCTATTTCTTTAAATTAATTTATTTTTTATTTTCTTCTTAATAATAAATATTTTAATATTGTCTGATAAATTTTTATTACAATTTATATCGTCATTTATTTAAATATTATTTTATTTCCTTTTTAAATGCGACACCGTGCAATGAACATGCATGATCATTAGTTTATATAATGAGGATAATCTTGATATAACTTTTTTAATTTAATTTATTTTACGTTGTACGATAATTGTCTAAAGTATTTTTTCTACAATACTTACAAATTAATATCCTAAAATCTTTCTAAAACATTTCAAGTAATTGCTAGACGGCTCTAAAAATAGTGATATGTACAGGTTGAATGAGGGCTTTAATATAGACTTAAATTTATTTTTTTGGTCAGTATTAGGATTAGACCTTGACTTCATTGACTATTTTTGTGCCCTGTTGTTGTTGGTTGTAATACCTACACGCAAGTGCACGTATCGTACAAGTAATATAATGAATTTTTAAGTCCAACTATTGATCCACAAAGAATATTTAATTATCTAATGCTAGACGCTAAATTCTATCAATTATTATCAAGCCGACCCTACACAGTCGAATGTTGATTAATAATTAAACTAAATTAAATTAACACAAATTAAACAAGCAAGAGCAAGAAAGCAATTAAACACGAATATTAATCAGAGAAAGCAAACCTATGATTTTACTCTCCCCCTATGTGATTATTAATTCCCCAATTCCTTTAATTATGCAAGTTATTAAATCGGATTACTAACATGAGATGCTAAATTAATCATAACCCGCTTCCGTGTGTATTACGATTCTAATAATCTAAATTCAACTACTGTATTCCTACGGAATTAATTCTAGAATACAACATGAAGCACAAATCTCAATAATGGGTACCTAAGAGATTAACTATATTCATATGTTATTACCACAGATGCTTTTCCATCCAAGTTCTAATTATTAACTCGATCTTCTGATTCATGCAATTAACAATAACCAAAAAGCACATAAAGTGGCCAGTTTCAAGCAGTTAATAAAACAAGTAGAATAAATAATCCATAATTAAAACTTGCATAAAATTATGGATAACGGTTCATAAATCCCATATAAGGTTCAAAATAAAATCCTAGAAATGCAAGGTTTAGCTACTTATGATTAAAGTAAAAATAAAATTATGATAATTTATCGAAGATAAAACTAAGCTTGGACTCTTCGAATTCTTCGTCTTCGTTATTGCTTCTTTGTTCTTGAAATTGCATAAAAAAAAGGACCTCTAATTGAGTGCTTGAGATGGCTTTTATAAGGTGGGAAAAATTGGGGAAATGCAGTTTCCTTGTAACTTTTCGAAGTTTCTTTACTGCGCAGTCTTTCCTTCTTGGACGTTTGACTTCTCCAATTTTGTTCACTTTTTCTTCTAAATTGTAGTTTTGACCCACAACTTATTAAATTCTTCAATTTGTGCCTGAAACACAATAAATTCTACATTAAGCATGAATTATCAATAATACTAAAAGCTCAAATGAAAAGATGTGATTAAGTGTAAAAATATACACTTAACACCTGCCACATAATATAGTTATCTGTATCACCCTCAATGTTTCTAATTCCTCCATGGATGGATACACACAGGTTATACAGATATTACATAAAAGTAAATTCAAAATTTTCCATCTAAAAAGCCTCACAACTCTTAAGTAACTAACTGAGTCCAAAATTTGCATGCATGCCTTGGTTCAGTCAACTTCCATTGCATTCTCCTTTTCGGCTTTTCTGCTCGACCAAATCTTGATTGTCCGATCATGCGAAACAGTTACGATATCTTGTCCATCTGCACAAACATTATTTAGAACAAAAGTTAGCTAACAAAATCACCAGTTCTACATACGTTTAGCGCACATATCCATCGTAAAAACATACGAAAAGGGTTTGTCCAATCAACAACATAACTAAGCATCACGGCGGTTCGGAATGTAGCTGCCCAGAAAAAGTCGGCACGACAAACTAAGAATAAACATCCAATGATGTATGCAAGCCTATTTCATCGTCTCTTACAAAACTATAGACCAATTTGAGGAAAATCATCGGGAGAAATAATGAAGAACAAAGATCATAATTTTGAAATAACGAGAAGCTGCTTCTGAAAGTTAAAGAGATAACTGACCTCCAACAATATCCAATGATGTAACTTTCGATTCATGGCCAGACAATGTTTTTACAGGCTTAAAATCTCTCGAAGACCAGATCTGACATGAAAGAAAAAAAAAACACGATAAACAAAAAATGAACAAATAAAAAAAATTCAAACACATTTCAGAAACCATAAGCGAACCTTAGCAGTCATATCATACGAAGCCGTGACCAAAAAGTAACCCTCCTGTGGTTCAAATTTGACTTGAGAAATAAGGTTAGAATGAGCAGGTATTATGTACAAAGATTTCCTCTTCCTCAAATCCCATATCCTGCAAGTGTTGTCTTCCCCACCAGTAGCTAAATGATAACCATTCGGAGAAAAGCTAACACCAAGAACCTGAAGTAAAAAAAAAATATCACAACATATAGTAAAAGAAACGACTAAAAAATAAATAATGTCGAAAAATAGCAAATCTTACAGGCTTGACATGGCCTTCCAGAGCAAGAATACTTTTCCCAGATCTAAGGTCCCACACACGAGCAAGAGCATCCAGCCCACAGGAAGCTGCTAAAGAGCCATCGTGATGAAAAGATACTCCGTATATACTCCTACTGTGACCTTCTTGGAGAAGCAACTCCTCACCGGTTTCTACATCCCATAATCTCCAAGTCTTGTCGAAACTAGCTGTACCCAAATATCTACCTGATGGGTGGAATGAAATACGAGCAAGACGGTCCAGGTGGCCCTCGAATGTTCTAAGGACAGATCCTTCCAAATTCCATAGTCTTGCAGTTTTGTCGGCAGAAGCAGTAGCTACATGATTGCTTGTGGGAGAGAATGCAACATCGGTAGCTCGTTCGGTGTGCCCCTTTAGTGCAGCAACCTTCTTTACTTCAGGCATGCTCCACAGCTTTGCAACTCCACTTAAAGAACTAAGGAAAGAAGAGGAAAGTCATGAAGCAAAATGAGGAACAGATTTGTTGTGATAAACAGTATAAGCATTACCACAAAATCTAAAAGAAAAAAAATGAATTACATAAAGACATATTGCAAGAAACCGAAATTATGGTAAAAGAAAGCAGAGATCACTGACTTCATGGTAAACATAGGAAGATGTGACCTCAAATCGCATTAAGCCTTTATGTTTAATTTTGAGGATGGCCCTTGCATGTACAACAGCCAAAAAGATTCATACTGCTGAGAATAACTACGCGATAACGCTTTTTTTGTTTAGTATCATCTATTGTAATATATCCTAACAGGGATATCCATAAGGTGACAGTATAACTCGTAACCATAAAAAAACCAACCATGCACATATAAACTGTATAGCCACAACCAATAAGACATTGTAAATTGTTTAATCAGCCAACAAGTGCATAAAACAGAGATGTTACCAGGTGGCAAGAGTCTTTCCATCATATGAAATCGAGCATCCAGAAAGGGGCCGGTCATCGCCAATCTCACTGCACTCCATGACCATATTTGCAGCCTGTTTAAGAGACCAATCAACCTCTGCATCCAAATCCTCATCCGGGTCCTCCCGTTTCCTCTTCGCACGATGGAGGCGCAAAGCCGACTTCACAATCGAGTACTTCAAAATCTCTCGACGGGCTCTCAACAGACCCTGCGAACCTTCGGTGTAAAACGGATACTGAACGTCTTCTTCCAGTTCCGAAGGCGCCACACTGGCGGCAGCAGCTTCTTCCTCCTCCTCCTGAGCTTTCATCAGCCTTTCGAAGTTACCTTCAGCATCGAGCTTCGCCATAAGCGCCCTCAATCGATCGCGTCTCTCCATCTCTCTCTCACCAAAGAAAGTTATAGGCTCGCCGAGCCGCCGGAGTCTTGATCGGACAGCATTGTCGTTGGTGGGGACTGCCAAGGCGGCGGCACGCCGCTTCATCAGAAGCTCCTGCACCGCCTTTTCATGCCTCTCCCTAACAATTTGGCTCTCTTCCGAGATCTCGTATTCCTGAGCTGAGCCTGAGGCGGCACGGTTTGTTCTTGGCTCTTCGTCTTCATCGGGATCGGAGTCGCTAGTTCTTGAGTCTCCGTTTTGTGGGGCCAATGGTCTGGTGACAGGTGGACGGGGAGGTAGTGGAGCCAATGGTCTTGGAACAGAAGGTATTGGGGCCATAGGAGGTGTGACCGGAGTTGGATTGATGGATGCAACTATGGGTTCGGCTGGTTGAAGTGAGATAGCATCAATGGCAGAAGCTACAGTTTCGCTACCGTCGAGTGGGACTGAAGCATCGGTGTCGATGGAGGTAGAGACAGTATTTTCCTCATCGATGTCCATGATTCCTGACCAATGAGATCCTGAAATGATTAGATTCACAATTTGTAAATGCAATGCATGCACCGAAAAATAGTTTGCTGCATTTTGTATATCTAATTTCATTCTCCATTAAATCACTTTATTTCCTGAATGCAAACTATGTTTCCAGGGAGTTTATATTATCAAAATGTGGATACTTATAAAGCATGAATTTGCCCAGAAAACCATTCAACAAAACCGCGAAACCTAAATCCCATCTAAAAAATCCCCAAACTTGCGAATCCGAAAACTCCATATATCAAAACCCCCAAAATCACAAAACCCTAAATCGCAAAACCCTCACTAAAAATTGAACACCAAAATCTTCACACTAAACAACTAGCAATATATTGTAGTGATTGTTCATGCAATTGATGTGAACTCACCAAAAATCGTGAAATATGAGATAGCAAAAAATAGTCCAGAAATCACAAAAGAAAGCACTAGACAACACACGATTGCAATTTAGTGTGTGTATGTGGTGTGTGCGGAAATGGGGAATAGTACTTACAGATGAAGAGCAACGAAGAGCAAAGCTTGAAGAGTTGAGCTGAGAAAGAAAATGGTGGCGCAGCCAATTAGACGGCAGGTTAATTTGCCGTCCGCCTTCTGTGGTTTCTCCTCCGTTTAGGAAAAATAAATATACGATTTTTTATTTGTTTTTTTCTTTTACTATTAAATAAAAATTATGTAAATAATCATAAATTCATGATATTTTAAAATTAAAGTATTTTCATGTTTGGGACTAATAATAAAATAAAATATTACTTAACACCTCTAATTTATTCTTTGGGAGTGAGATATGTGTATGATAATTCATAAAATTTTATAAAATATTAAACTAATAATAAAACCCAATTAAAATTTGTAGTAAATATTGAGACAACAAACACATGAAGATGAAAACTCAACAATCAAGAAAATATAAATTGCATCCAAAATTAAGCCATTTATGATAAAACACCACACAAAAACAAACAGTGCCTGTACCAGAAAACGAACAACGAGCATCTCAACTTCCGAACGAACATCAAACAAAAACGATGTACCCTATATATATGGTACAATTTCTCCCCAAATATCCAAAAATTATCCTCAAAATTTCGGGGGGAAATATAATACACATACGTTTGCTAAGCTAGGCGACGGTATATCCTACTTAATAAAGGCACAAATAGAATGAATTTAATTCAGCAAACAAAAACAGGTAGCAACTCTTGAACTCTTCTACCGATTCCATTTCTGTCCAACCGTTATTGCAGCATTACGACTCGCGGGCCCACAAGAAGTAAACGAATTCCACTCCCTCGGATTCTCTCGCTCGACACGTGTCGCTTTTTGATTCCTCGATATATTATTATTTCTGTGACGATCCTGCCCTTGAGCTCCCCATGCCCTGCCACTCGGCACCTGTCTACTAACAACTTTGTGCGCAGTAGCGGGTCCCACTTCACGAATCGTATTATTATTATTAGTATTACTGTCATTATTCCAACCACAGTCATTATTATTCCACCCATCTTCATTAACAAAGTGGCATGCATTAATAGAATCACCCGACCATCCAATTGGAACCACGTTGTCAAACGAATCGCCCCAGTTTTGTTCCCACTCAGCACCATTGTTATTCGCTGAGGAAGAATTAGCGGGAAGTTTGAAATTCTCTTCCTCGTCACCCCAGCCTGTACTCGAGTATGCTTGGTTTGGGAGAAGAGAATCACCAAAGATAATGACCGGATCATGTTCTTGATCTGGATTAGAAATCACGGGTTCTGATTCAAGATCGGGCACATAATTAGTTTGCGAGTCCCAATCAACTGTGTCAATATATTGATCAGGATCGGGCAAAGATATGTCACAGGGAAGTCCGTTTATTTCGGCCCAAAAGCGCTTCTTAGCATTGGAGAATGCCTCTTCGACCGCAGAGTCGTCCCACTTGAGTATGTTTTCGTAGAGGTGCACAAATTTCTTCATTTGCAGAAGTGTTTCCCAGTCCAGTGAGCCGACTACTCTGCAAAATTCTTTCTCCCATGAAGGCACAATAGGCTGCCAATTACCTGCACGAAGTAACAAGAAAATTTGAGGAGGTGAAGGAAATCGAATTCATCAGAATTCAGTAAGCCGATTACGCCAATTAATCCACAGAATCATTATAATTATTGAATTTCTAATTAACGTTTTTATTTTCCCGGAAATACAATGGTGGGAAGATATAGGAATATATAAATGGAATAATAAATAACCAAATCGTACCGAGACAAGATGATAAATACAGACCAAGAAGATAAAAAAAAAAAAAAAAAAAACATGACAACAATTTGTTATTTATGCGAATCTTTAGATACGACAATAAATAGCTCTCTGCACCCCAAGACAAGTAAATATCAGCAACTAGCAAGATTGTGAAATTTAGGTAATAACGATACCGAACTTTCCAAAAAGAAAAACTTCATAGAATCGTGTAAAAGAACACGTTTCATGCAAATCCAAGTATAACATATCAGACTAGGCGCTTCATCCACCAAATCATTTGAACACGTTTTGAATTAAATTTCACAAATCAAAATCCATGGAGTTCATATCTTTTTTCAAGTCATGATAACTAAAATTTGAGCCATAAAACAAGCAGCAGTCTTACACACGAAAGTAGTTCAAAGAAAATCGTATCCTCGCTCCACAAGAATTTAAGACCTCTCTTCCAATGTATCGAATATCATGTATCAAGAAATCCAATTTCAATCAAAATGAAAATGTCAACGTCGCACAATAGAGAGAGATAGGGAGAAAGAATGGCAGTCGAACTAGAATGCATGTAAAAGGAAATAGGTAAAAAAAATCTGCCACCAATCGAATAATCGAATAATCGAATAGTCAAAGAATTTCATGGCCTGAAACAGAAGCAAATAGTACTACAAAGTCTTAAATTGCTGCGTGGACATCGAAAACAAAAAACCACTGGAAAAACCACATTATTCTAAACCACGAGATTCACACAAACGGATAATCCTCAAATAAATCGACAAAATGCATCTATAAATTAATTAACAGCATACAAACATGACATATCAAACCAAAACAAACAAAAAAAACAAAAACAGAAAACAATATTTCGAATTAATATCGGAGATCAAGGAAATTACACGAACCACGGGGCGGCCTTCTGTTCTGTGACCTTCTATTGCTCTCCCAGTTCCGGCGCCTCCGATTCTCCATGGATCAACACTCCCAAAACCTTCCAAAATCAACAAATTCCAATAAAAATTCGAGTTAGCCGCCAGAGAATAAGCAAATTAAAAATCAAACACAAAAAAAATTTAAAAAACAAAAAAAAAAAATCCAAGTAACCAATTCAGTAATCAAAACTACGAAAAGCGAAATAAGATGAACACCTCGGATTTCGCGTCGAGAATTCCTCAACGAACAATCCAGAAACTTCTGGTTTCAGTCAGCTTTTTTCGCCACAGTTACTGTTCCTGGAAACCCCAGCACCACAATAAATAGGGGAAAACAAAAATTCCTTTTCTCCCCAAAGGGAAACAAATCGCAGATGAGAGCTCCAAAAATGGTGTGAATCGCGTGATCGATGAAGGGTATATATTGTAATTAACTCGGGGGTGGGGATGGGGGGTTGGGGGGTGGGGTGGGGTGGGGGGGGGTTAGGGGAAAGGGAAAACGATCATAATAGGGAAAAACCTTGGTACGTAGTTTTTGCAGAGAGGAAAAGGGGTCAATTAAATTAATATATAAAATGATTAAAAATATCTTATTTTCATTAATTATAATATTTTACCAGCGACTTTGCCATATTTGACTTAATTTCTTAGATACTTGTAAATATATAATTTAATTTTGACGCATTATTTATTAAAAATAAATATTTAAAATGAGGAAGGAAAAAGCCGCAGTGTAGTGCTTCTTTTAACAACAGCCCCTGGTTTTGGCACTAAATTACGGAATTGACTATAACTGATAAGGACTGAAACTGGTAGGCGGTTGATGGGCGCGTGTGTCACACTTTAGTATTATTTTTTTTTTCTTGCATATTTTTGGAAGAAAATAAATAATATATGACAATTAGGGGGTGAAAATTGCAACTTCCCTTCGATTTCCGCCGATTCTGATCCAAAAGTTTCTAATTTAGAAACATTTTGTATTTTGTTCCAATTTCCTAGTTTTCCTATGTCTTTTTAACGAAATTTGAGAACTAGTTTTTCGCTTCTGAAAATGTTAAAGTTTTATTCGTTTTTTTTTTTATTTCCACTCTAATGACAATATATCGTTCATATATTATTGATAAATAGAAAAACTAAAAACTATGGTCCTGAACTCTCGATATATCATATGTAATGACATATCGAGATAAGCTTTATTGTAAATCAAACAAGGGTTTAATTTACGTAAATATAACTAGTAAAGTGGACAAACGAGCCCGAATCAATTTTGTTGTTTTTCTTTTTTTGTTTTAAATATTTTTTCAATTATTATTAAAAATTATTTTAAAAAATTTACAAAATAAACAATAAATTGTAATTATACATATTTGTTGATATTTATATTTTATTTTTATTTATTTCTATAATATTTTATATTATTATACATTCTTTAAATAAAAAATAATATATAAAAAAAAATTATAAAAAGGCTCACAAACAATTAATAACTGGCTTGAGCTCGTGAGTTTGAAAAACTCGAGTCCCAATTCGAGCTTTTTTCAAGCCGACTCATGAGTCGGCTCGGTTGGTTTAACACGCCTAATGTAGCATAGAAATATCAAAAAAAAAAGAAGTTTTTTTAAGAGATCATGAATTAAACGTGGTTGTTTCACAAATGGATACGCCAGGAATAATATCCTTCCATTCCAATGGTAGTAAAACTCAGAAACCCCCAATACTAGGTGTTAGTGTGTGCAACAACGATAGTCTTTGCTAAGAGTTAAAAACAATGTTTATTTTATGGACGACGTTAATCTGTCCTTTTCTGATCAACTAAAAAACTAAAAACTATGGTCCTGAACTCTCGATATATCATATGTAATGACATATCGAGATAAGCTTTATTGTAAATCAAATAAGGGTTTAATTTACGTAAATATAACTAGTAAAGTAGACAAATGAGCCCGAATTGAATCAATTTTGTTGTTTTTATTTTTTCTCTTTTAATATTTTTTTAATTATTATTAAAAAATATTTTTAAAAAATTACAAAATAAACAATAAATTGTAATTATACATATTTTTTAATATTTTTTTTTTATTTCTATAATATTTTATATTATTATATATTCTTTAAATAAAAAATAATATATATATATAAAAAAAAAAAAAAAAAAGCTAGCGAGCAGGCTCGTGAGCTCATAGCCCGGCGTTCGAAAAACTCGAGTCCAAGTTCGAGCTTTTTTCGAGCCGACTCATTGAGCTCATGAGCCGGCTCGGCTCTGCTCGTTTACTGGCATCGAAAACATCATTTCTTTTTTTTTTTTTTAGAGATCATGAATTAAACGTGAGCGTTTCACAAAGGGATAATATCCTTCCATTCCAATGGTGGTAAAACTCAAAAAAACCCAATACTAGGTGTTAGTGTGTGCAACAACGAACGTACGATAATCTTTGCTAAAGAGTTAAAAACAATGTTTATTTTATGGACCACGTTCATCTGTCCTTTTCTGGTCATCTCAGCCAACCACCTCCGGGGAGCACCGCTTCGAATAGCGCCGGAGGAGGACGGTAACCTTAAAATGCACGGCGGCGCACCGTTCAAGATCGCCCTCTTCGCCGACCTGCACTTCGGCGAGGACACGTGGACGGCGTGGGGCCCGCGTCAGGATCTCAATTCCGCTAGGGTTATGTCTTCCGTACTCGACCAAGAGCAACCAGGTCTCTGTGTAGTGTGTAAAGATTACATTTTTAGTATTTATTATTAGGGTATATTACAACCAACCCTTAAGTATGGTTAAATTACGAACCAACCAACTCTCATGTTTGGGTAATTACAATTACTCCTCAAATCTTCTTATACGTTTATCCTTGCGGTTTCAAATTTAGTGGAATCTTCTAGATTATATGGAATATTCTCAATTTTGTACCCGTTTTTATCTCATTCGAGCTCCACATTTTGAAGCAAGATGATCTTAATATGTGTTTTTTGGCTTGTATATATCAGATTGTGGTGCATTAGAAACTGTATTTTTGCACAAAACGAGTACAAATTAGAGACCTTTTCATGGAATCTAGATGATTATATTGAATTTGATAGCATAAGGGTAGAGGTGTAAGAAGATTCATAATTGAGGGATAAATGTAATTATCAAAACAATAGGGTTTTTTTGTAATTTGACCATACCTCAGGGGTTGGTTGTATTATTATTATTATTATTATTATTATTATTATTATTATTATTATTATTATTATTATTATTATTATTATTATTATTATTATTATTATTATTATTATTATTATTATTATTATTATTATTATTATTATTATCCGACACTAATGAAAATGGGGACTGCATTTAACAGATTTTGTGATTTACCTTGGTGATGTTATCACTGCCAACAATGTAGTGGTTAAAAATGCAAGCTTGTATTGGGATAAAGCATTGTCACCTACAAGAAACAGGGGAATACCCTGGTCCACCATTTTCGGAAACCACGACGATGCGCCGTTCGAGTGGCCGATCGAGTGGTTTTCGCAATCTGGGATTCCTCAAATTCATTGTCCGGACACAAATTCCCCATTTCCCGGTGAGAGTCGAGTTCGAAATCTATGTTTCTTGATATTGAGCTACCAAAAAAATCGGATCTTTATTTAATCAATGTGATAGATGAGTAATGATGGTGTAAAGGGACGATTTAAAGAAACCGCTTTTAATCCGATTATATATATTAGGTTGTGAAGAATGTGGGTTTAGAGGTACGACGCGTTTGGAGTTGATGAAAAACGAGATTGAGCGAAACTCGTTGTCTTACTCGAAGAAAGGCCCTAAAAATCTATGGCCTAGTGTTTCGAACTATGTCCTTAAACTTTCATCGTCGGACGATTCTCAAAAAGCCATGATTTTTATGTACTTCTTCGATTCGGGCGGTGGGTCCTACCCGAAAGTTATATCCGATTCCCAAGTCAAATGGTTTCAGCGCAAATCCAAAGAGGTTAACCCTCACGCAAGGTATCAAAAGATTCAATTTTTAATTCCAAAAATTATTTTACTTTCCGACATTTTTTTTAACGAAAACTTTTCACAGGATGCCTGAAATTATATTTTGGCACATACCGAGCGAAGCATATAAAACGGTGGCTCCAAAGTTCGAAACTACTAGCAAGCATTATTGCGTGGGCTCGATTTTCTCGGAGGATGTTGCTGCACAAGAAGGTGAAATGGGGATAATGAAAGTTCTAGAAGAAAGGCCTTCTGTTAAGGTCAGGGATTAATCGAATCATTACATCGGCTTTTCAAATGAAACTTTGACATTGTTTTCGTTTATATATATATATATATATATATATATATATATATATATATATATATATATATATATATATGTATATCGTAGGCTGTGTTTGTAGGGCACAACCATGGATTGGATTGGTGTTGCCCGTATACGAAGAAGCTATTGTGGCTATGCTTTGCTAGGCATAGTGGTTACGGTGGTTACGGAAATTGGGATAGAGGGGCGAGAATTATTGAAATTAACGAGCGTCCGTTTTCTCTCAAGTCGTGGATTACGATGGAAGACGGACATTTACACAGTGAAGTCCTCTTGAGTTCTTGATCATCATGTTTTAAAGATTTCGTATACTTGGACAGAAATGTAATTAAGCCTATTATTCCAGACGTTTAACCTAGCTCTGATATCAACTGTAAAGATCGTAAGATTTTCACATTGTGTAATGAGATGACGTTGCTCGGAAGTATATTTGCGACAAGACGTGATTTGAACTATTGAAGTTCGTCGAAACTTTTCAATGTTTCGGTAAAGAAATTTAAATACCTGAAAAAAGGCGGGAGAATTGAGGGAAAAAGACTAAAGAGTGCATTGCATATATTTAGAATGAAAAGACAATTTTGCCCTTACCGAAGTGCAACGCATGTCCGTTGTCGAAATTCCAGCCAAAAAATCAAGCACAGACCCCGTTTGACTCGTTTTCTAAAATCCAAAAAACCAAAATAATCGGATTTTTTTGGTTAGGGATTTTTCGGTGTTTGATTTGTTTTATTTCCGGTTTCTGTTCGATTTGCGGTTCAAAAACTATTCTTAACTGGGCTTATCAGCCCATTTTGTTTCAGTGAAAGATAACCTGTTAGAGTTAAATGCAAAAACAACCCCTGTGATTTTCCTAAAGGCCAAAAAAACCCCTGGATAAAATTAAGTGACTAACAACCCCCTGTGATTAGTAGTCAAAGTCATACACCCCCTTCTATCTCGTTTGTGTCATTCACGCGCTAACAGTGCGACTGCTTGTGCGATTTTTTGTGTGAAAAGACACAAGTGCCCCTCTAAATCTCTCTTAGTTTTTCTTATTCCATTTATATATATATATATATATATATATATATAAATTAAAAAATAATAAAACAAAAAAAGAAGAAAAAAATTTGGAATTTCTTCCTCCCGCCAAACTCACGCCATCTTCTTCACCCATCTTCTTTGCCGACATTGCCATCTTCTTCTCTGACGTTGCCCAGCGACCGCCGCCGCCGCCGTCGCCGCCGTCGCGAGTTTAGATCTTCTCCAAAGTCGCCGCCAATTCGAGGTCCGGCGAGCTCCACCACTTCTCCGACGAATAGCAAAGTCCGCCGCAAAATCCTCTCAAAATCGTTCTGCTGCCGCTGCAGCCGCCGCTGAGTGAGAGTTGAGTGGGTGAGGCGTGTCTATGTGAGCTGTGAGCTGAGAAATTAAAATCGAAGCCTGCGTTGCTGTAATTTTTTTTTCAATTGGGGAAGAGGGCTAAATTGAATGTCTTAGGGACTGAATTGAAAATTTTGAAAATTTCATTTCAGTCATAAAACTCTAGAGGTTGGACATATTTATCTGGAGGGCTTTTTTGTCTTTTCGCGAGCGGTCAACGGACAAAAATAAAAAAGGGTCGATTGTGCTTGATTGAACACTTGTTAGGGGGGTTTTGGTGACTTATATTTTCCCAGGGGGGTTTTTGGCCTTTAGGAATTACACAGGGGGGGTTTTGCATTTAACTCTAACCTGTTATTTGCATCAGTCCGAAAATATGAAGTTTCAGCCCAAAATAAATAGGCCCAACAAAGTGTTTGCAAATGATTATTTAAAAACGAAAGTTAGTGATTGTGATTTAAGTTAGGTTTAAGTGCTTATTTCTAAAAGTTGGGGGTGTTTGCAAATATTTCGGAAAATGAACTAAAATTGAAAAAGCAGGGTTATGGGTGCTTTTAAAAAAATAGCTTAAAGCAGATTATTTTAAGAGAAGCAAAAGCAAAAGTTGATTTTGCAAACACCTAAAAACAGATTATGAGAAGAAAAAAATCGCATAATCACTTTCAAAAAGCATTTGCAAACACCACACCAAAATAATCAATTAGTTACAATAAGAGCCATAAAAATTAAGTTTCAACACCATAATAATTAATTAGTTACAATAAGAGCCATACAAATTAAGTTTCGACCCAACTACACACGTCCAGGGTCCACTGTGCCATTTTTTTCCATCAAGGGGTAAAGCGAATCAGAATAAAAATTCGTGGTGGAAAATGCTATTTACCCTATTTATAAAAAAAGCAAGGATTGAGATTAGGGCGGAAAATTGAACCAAGCTATGTGTTACTCTATTCAAGATCGTTCGTTAAAAGCTCAGTTTGTTAACATATCGAATCAAACTTGAACACATTTTCAATTGCTAATCTACAAAGTTCAACTCAAACTCGATCTCCATTATATATATATATATATATATATATATATATATATATATATACACATGGTTATCAAATCGTAAATCGAATCGAAAATCGTTTTGTCAAAATTGCGAATCGTAAATCGTAACGAATCGTAAATCGTAAGATTTATTAAATTTCATTAAAATATTAATATATTAAATGATGTACACTTATTTATGAGACATTCTACAATATTAACAACAAAATATATATATATATATATATATATATATATATATATATATATATATATATATATATATATTTGCATAGAAATCTACAAATTAAACTACAAAATTATATGATTAACTTGCTAATATTTAAAATTTAAGACTTTACAAAAATTTAACATAATAAAAATAAAAACTTTAATATTAAAAGAATTTCATTTAGTTTGTAGTATCCGGCAATGCAAATTTTTTATTGTTATTAGGTTCAACTAATATATATTCAAGATCTCATACAAACTCGTATATGCAGTTAGTTGATGGCAATCGATGTGTCCGAGTAAATGAAATATAACATTGAAAAAAAATAAGAATAAAACTCTCTTGAATATATCTCCTAATTTAAAATATTATTAGAGTTGTAAAGTACAATAAAAATATTATTAATTTAAAAAAAAATACAATTGCAGATGAACAATATTAAAAGAAGAAAAAATAGTCATTATAAGATGTAAAAGTGTTGGTATTACGAGAAATTATCATATATTATTGTATTTTTACTTAAAATTTAATATTTTAGCACAATTTTTAATTTTTTTTTGAAAATATATATATTTTCTGAAAATCGTACAAATCGTACAAATCGTAAAAATCGTAAATCGAATCGTAAATCGTACAAATCGAATTCAAATCGTACGATTTTTTAAGATTTACGATTTATTCAACGATTTGAATCGAGAAGGATTCAAATCGAATCGAATCGTACGATTCAAATCGTAAATCGTACGATTTTGATAACAATGTATATATATATAAAATTCGGACAATCAAGCTACCACAACTCGATTAGTACAAGGTTTAATTAAAGATTGTTCGAGCTTGACTCAATTGCTTCTATTATCAAACCAAGCTCAAACACAATTTTAAACGTTCGATAAAAATTCGAACAAACTTGAACAACCGTGCATTTAACTCGTCTCGATTGATTTACACTCCTAATTAATTTGCTCATTTCTCTAATTAAATGGATGAGGGGCATGCAAAACTATGATAAAGATAAAATCCCACAAGTCTATGATCATTACTTTGCACTTTATGCACTTAAAAGCCTTTCATGCTTAAGAAATAATTATATTAATTAATTAGTCTTTCATTCCTTTTTTTTTTCGTTTTTTTTAAAATAATATTATATAATTCTGAAAAGTCAGAAATTAAATGTTTATTGAATTTAACAGATAACCTAAAAAAAACAAGAAAATATATAATTGTAAGTGTTGAGGCAATCTATGGAACTTTGCATTGATAGAAGTAATGATGGAATTGCTGTCAAAGCAGAGATATAAACAAATTTAAAGCTGAAATTTGTGAGAATGGGTGTCATCATTTTCTTGGGCTTATGCCATTATTGCTTTGGCAATCATAAGCAAAACCTGAATAAACACATTAATGTTTGGGCAAATTACGATCGCCCCTGAGGTATAATCAAATTACGAAAAAACCCAGCATGTTTGAGTAATTTATAACTATCCATCAACTATGCATTGTCTTACACGTCCACTCTTACGATGTTAAATTTATCTACTGGATGAGGGTGGTTTTCGTAAGACAATACATAGTTGAGGGGTGATTGTAATTAACCAAACATAAGGGGGTTTTCGTAATTTGACCATACCTCAGGGGTGACCGTAATTTACCTTTAGTGTTAGTCAGACAGCAAATTACGGCCACCCTCATGAGGTAATGCCAAATCACAGAAGAAAACCTTCTTGTTTGGATAATTACAACCATCCACCTCAACTGTGTATTTTCTTACGAACCCCCCCCATTTAGTAAGTAAATTTGACACCGTAAAGCTCGTAGCATAATACATAGTTGAAGGAATTATGTAATTACCCAAATATAATGGGAGTTTTCGTAGTTTAGGCTTACCTTAGGGAGTTGGCCGTAATTTACCGTCGTGAAAGGGCAGAATCAAGATTCTCCACCAATAAATTAAACATTTTTGTAAAAAGTGATTATTTTAATTGTTTAATAATGACTTCATAAGATCACATATACTTTGACATGTTAGGTATATACTTTGGATTAAGATTTAAGCATTGTTTTTCAAAAGTTAATAATCATAGTCTAATCCCATAACATTCCTAATAACTTTGGATTAATGGACCCGTTCAACAGCTAAAAAGTCAAAACCCCACTTTCTTACTATATCTTATTTATTTATCTATTTATTATTATTTTATTATTTTTCATTTGATTTATTTATTTAT